GGGGGGGCTGGCAGATCGCGGGTCGCCTGGAGAAACCTGAACTGGCTGGAGTATGGAGACCGTGGGCGAAGAGCGACATCACACCATCTCAAGAAACCAGGAGCTGCCTGCTTACAGTTGCCAAGATAAAATGCATAGTCGGGTGGGAGAGGAAAATCTGGTGGCGCAAAAACCATGTCACACGCACGTTGCGGACACACGCAGTGAAATGTCGATGCCAGATGCATCGTATGTGGCGGCTAGTATGGTGGCGCTATCCGTTGGAGGCGTACTAGAGAGCAAATGAGAGCACGGAGTACATGACCGACGGCAATTGCCGTTCGGACGGCGATATTTCGGCACAGATTAAAATCCTTTTCATCCTTTTGGATTTACTAAATTCCCGCTAGATTTTTCGAACACTGTGGCCTGCCATCCACGATGCTATTACTTCTGATTCAGTATAACATCTGGAGTCACAGCTTCAGTTTACTAGTATTTACAATGAGACAGGCTGTATCGGATTTCACAAGGAATCAGTTTAGGAAATGTTGTCATATTTCTAGAACAGCAGCCAGAAAAGATCCTAAAATCAAGCCATTTCAGCTGCGTGGCTACATTTCTCTAGGCAATTATTGCCGCAATATCCCGTTGGCAGTTTACCACGCAAAATGACCACTCCGTTCTTGCCAAGAACTTCTTGGCGCACCTAAACGTACAGTAATGTATTGTAGGCAATGGTAAGAAATCAGTCATGTAGATTGATATCTCGATCACTGTCCAGGCCATTATTTCGCGCGATCTGTACGGTTTTACGCTCTGCAACAGCGAGCGAAATCGATTTCAGTCGAGACGCTATCTTGGCAAGTGTGCATTCAAACACGCCATCAGACATTTCTCGATCGCGCTGTGGGGGGATCTAGACAATGCATGTAGAAGACAAGCTTTCACGGCTCGCTATTTAACGAAGCACAATAAGTTTGGAGATCATCCTTGGTGTAGTTTATACAAAGTTGGTGCTGTAGTCCTCTCTTCTGTTCTTGGAAGTGCTGACGTCGTCGAGTGACAGCACCGATGCCCCCTTCTCGGACCTGCTAGGGTCAACTTCGACCATTGACTTCATAGATGCTGTCTGTTTCAGCTCCTTCTTCACTGCTTGCACCTGCACCTTGGCGACAATACGTTTGTTCTCTCGCTTGCGGTGGAATATGGCGAGGACTGTGATTCCAGCCACGGTAGAAGCGACCAGAAGTGCAACATACATGGGCGGACCAAACAGTTCGTCGTCGGTGCTGTTCGAACTTGCTGGCTCCGTGCATCGAGGACCCGTCCAGGAATCGGAAGCGCATTCGCAGCGGCCTATCGAACTGCATGTACCAGTTAAGACCAGCGCCGAGCTGTCAATGCTGCAGTCGTCGTCTGTTTTACAGAACGCCATACCCGACACGGCAGTGTACGGGTTATCCGTGTCAGTGTAATCGTCAATGTGATCCTCGATCCACTGCTTCGTTGGATGAGACGATGGATCGCATCCGATCGCCATGTCGGTGTTTTCAGACGTATCCTGGTACAGACGGATGTAGTCGATCTTCATGTACATGGGGAACGCGTCGCAAATAGAATTGCTGGTTGAGCTCGAGCCATCGCCGCGGCAGCTTCCCGAGCCGGCGTTGGGTGGTTTAGAGCCCCAAGAACTCGACAATGCCACGTTAAAAATGAGATACATGGGCTCCTCAACCATAATCTTCTTCGGGTTCATCTGCGCCGTGTCTTGTGGTGGATTCGTGAGCGCTTCTGCCGGAATCTCAAAGATAACTTGGCCTTCTACTTCCCAGCGGACGTACCCAGAGTCGCCCATGACCCACTCAACACTGTACGTGACCCAATCCAAGTACGCCGCCATGTGCACTTCCCAATTCGAAGAGATAGCGTCCATTTGGTAGGCAAACTCAGACCCTGCGCTCGTGGATCCACTGGAGGAAGTACATTCGGAAGCGTTGTTACCGGCATTGCACAAGTATGCACCAGTGTAGGCATTTTGTACCGGAAAGCAAGTACCGTTCGTGTTAATTCCCCAGTGCACCGTACTGTTATCTTTGAATCCCAAGTCGCCGTTCACATCGTAAGAAGCTGAACACAAGTCCATCGTACACGCGTTTTCCGTGATACCTTTGGTCAACGACGCGTTGATCGCCGCGTAGCTCTGAACATCGGAACTCTTTACGTCGCACAAGTTGTTGGCGCCGTAGCGAAGCCCCTGATACCATGATTTATGGCCACGAAGGTTCTTGTAGTAGGCCGTCGGGACGTCAATGTTATTCGCGCCTTTTGTGGTGCACTCATAGGTATAGAAACAGTAGGAAGACGCTGTGTCCTCAATCATTCGGAAATCCTCCGGCATACCGGGACCGACCTGTATCGACGATGATATAGCAGTACCGCCACCTTCAAGGATATCAATCTCGGGAGCCCCGCGGCCTTGATTCGCGTTCAAACCATGACCAGGATCATCGTCGCAGGCACTGATCCGCTGGTTCTGTGAGTCGAAAACGGTGTTATTGCACTCGTTGTATGTGAACGGCCACATACGAGCGGTGGATCCCGTGAACAGCGCACGACCGAGGTTACCCATGAGCCAGATACCCGGCCATGTTGGATAGTAGTCGATGTTAGCGGCACGAACTGTTGTCGAACCAGTCTCCACATCCGGGTTACCTGATGCGTTCGATACAGCACCGGGAAGTCGAGCGCGCACCTCGATCATACCGCCTTGGAAGCAGAACTTGTTCCAACTCTGAACCATACCTGATCTGTAGTAAAAGTGCACGGTCTCGTATCCTGGAGGTGAGATGTAGTTGTTCCAAACGGTCTTCTCGATGATTTCATCCGTCGTGTTGATGTAGAAGTAGCAGGTGCCATCGCTATCGCACTGGGTGCCGGTCATGTTGGTTGAGTAGACTTCCAGCGCTGAATTCACACCGTCAGCGAGCTCAATTGCTGTCCACAAGTGATCGTCACCAGCCTCAAAATTGCGGCCTTCGCTGTTGAACTCGTCGCTCATTGTCAATGCCCAGGTGTCTCCACGAGATGACGTGTACGTATGAGCGCTGGAGGGCGTATCGACGTCCACCCACGGTAAAACACCCGACCTAGTCGAGTATGTTGTCTTAGCTGTTGCTGTGGATGCAAAAAGTAGCGACCCCAGTGTCCACACGCTGTATTTCAGACCAAACATCGTGCACTTTCAAGTTTGTAGTGTGGTGTGGTCGAACCAGTGAAAATGAAAGTGATTCACGAACTCAAGTCCCGCAAATTGCGGTCCTCCTAGAATTCTCGTTAACGGTGGCGTCCATTAATTGCTGAGACGGTAACGTTCCTGTCGAATGCTTGGTTCTCATGAAATACGCTGGATGACATTTGGAACATGTGTGGTCTTCAACAATCACTTCGCTTTCATATTTGTGGGCAATGGCGATTTTCAGGAAATATTCTCAACTCGTGAGCTTGAGACTTTTGACAATCCTTGGTAGTAGCACTGTCGATCGCGCTTACTCGACCGAAGCTCTCGCGGGCGATGTTAGGACAATGTTTACTGCTTTCCGGGAGAAGCGATGCCCTGCATAAGACTGCGATCTCTAATGGACACTATTTCGACGGTTGTGAAAGACCAAATGCAGGGGCATACGTAGTTGACCCCGCAGTAGGATTCCTGCTATTTTGAACAGTATGACGTTGATAGAGCAAGCGGGGGAGCCCACCCTCGCATGCATCTCCACCAGCCTGCAGCAATATCCGCTATGCACTCGTTTCGGTGAGCCAATCATCTTTGCTGCGTGTGATCCGAGTTGACATGCAGGGCATCTTGGTGACCAGCACCGCCGTTGTCAGCTTTGCTGAGCGTTGTGAATCGATTAATCCTGACAAAACACGTTAAATCGCCAGCACCACTACTGTATATATAATAACACGGCAGAATCCAAATTCACTTCCACATCCGCCAAATCGACGGTAGTGCGAAGCACTATGCAAGTTCAGCCGCCGTTAATACATGTCCACTTTGGACAGCGCTTTGTCGATGTGGCTCCTCGTGAGCCGGTCCAATCAACAGAACCAGTCCAGAATAGCCCCGTCTACACCTCACCAGTCGAGACCAAGCAGCAGATGGGATTCGAATTGAACGGCGCGGGATACGGGCGGATCGACTCCGTTGCTACGCGCTCCGGGCAGATCCGGTCGCCTCGCCGCGCAATGCGAACTCGTCCGCTAGAGGACGGACAGCACACATACGTGCGCTACCATGGCACCAGTTCGCCGTGCTTTCGGACAGCGGGGCTGGTCACTTCCTATTCTATCGTGTAGCTAAGTAATGGCACTTACCATAATGGCGCAACGGACGCGAATGCACGCGCCTATATTAGCCGCGATGTTAGCGAGCTCCGCTGTTGTACAGGCTACGACGGAATACTCGACCAAGTCGGGCATTTTGCCGTGGGTGGACCCGGCGACGCCCAGCACCCGACAGACTTACACGACGTCGCGTGGTGCGACGTGGGACTTGGTCATGAGCGACGAGTTCAACACGGAAGGCCGTAGCTTCGAACCTGGCGACGACCACATCTGGACGTCCATGAACAAGGCTGACGGCGTCAATGCGGCGTTGGAAATCTACATGCACAACATGACCGGCACCGAGTGCGACGACGACATCTGCTACTTCTACATCGAGGCCGACACGGGTGAGACTACATTAACACTCTGGAATGACTACCTATCTCCAGCTGGATACGAGGACGTGACGTTCTACTATAAGGCCGGTATGGTGCAGAGCTGGAACAAATTCTGCTTCCAAGGCGGCATGATCGAGGTGCGCGCACAGTTACCGGGTGCCGTCACCAATGCGTCGGGCAACCCGGATGTCGAAACTGGGTCGGGTAGTGTACGCACGTCCAGCATTGACTACTACCCGACGTGGCCAGGTATCTGGCTCATGGGTAACCTCGGTCGCGCCATCTTCAGTGCGTCGACAGCCCGTATGTGGCCGTTCTCATACAATGAATGCAACGAAACGATCTTTGACTCACAGAACCAGCGGATCAGCGCCTGTGACGATGACCCTGGACACGGTTTGAACGCGAATCAAGGCCGCGGAGCCCCAGAAATTGATATCCTTGAGGGTGGCGGTACTGCCATCTCGTCGTCGATTCAGGTTGGTCCGGGAATGCCGGAGGATTTCCGACTTATTGCAGACACCGCGTCGTCATATTGTTTCTATACCTACGACTGCACCACTGAAGGTGCCAACAACATTGATGTCCCGACGGCGTATTATGAGAGCCTTCGCGGCCATAAATCATGGTATCAGGGGCTTCGCTACGGCGCCAACAACTTCTGCGACGAGGATTCGACACTCGTACAGTCGTACAAGACGGTTGCTGCGTCCCTGGATAAAGGAATCACAGATAACGCATGCACGATGGAGCTGTGTCCTGCTTCATACGATGTAAACGCCGACGTGGGAAACAAGGACAATGGCACGGAACACTGGGGAATCAACACTAACGGCACATGTTTTCCAAAGATGAACTCGTACAGCGGTGCATTTCTGTGCAGTGCCGGCAACACCGACACAAGTTGTACTGCTTCGAGTGGATCTACTGACGCGTCTTCAGAGTTCGCGTATCAGATGGATGCCATCTCGTCGAACTGGGAGATTCAGGTCGCGGCGTACACCGACTGGCTCACATACCAGCTCGAATGGGTCATGGGAGATGAGGGCTACATCCGGTGGATGCTTGCTGGCGAACCTATCTTCGAGATCACCGCCGACGTGCTGACTAACCCTCCGCAGGACGCGGCCCAGATGAACCCGAAGAAGATCATGCTGGAAGAGCCGATGTATGTTATCTTCAACGTCGCTCTGTCCAGTTCCTGGGGGTCTAAGCCACCCAATGCCGGCAGTGGTGGTTGTTATGGTGACGGCAGCGATGCCACGACGAACGCCATTTGCGACTCCTTCCCGATGTACCTGAAGATCGACTACATCCGCATTTACCAGGACAAGTCCGACGGCTCTACTATGGCTGTAGGCTGTGATCCGTCTACTCACCCCACCAAGCAGTGGATTGAAGACAATATCGACTCGTACGTGGACGACGACAACCCGTGGACAGAAGTGTCGGGCAAGGCGTTCTGCGACTCCAACGAAGACTGTACAATCGGTACCAATTCCTCTTCTTCCATCACTACTGGTACTTGTGTGAACGGCCGGTGTAAGTGCTCGGCTTCCACTTGGACTGGCCCGCGCTGCACCATTGCTTCTTCGGCAAGTAGCGACAGCAGCAGTGACGGCCTGTTCTCCTCGAATTCGTACGGCCCTCCAATGTACGTGTCGGGCGTGTTCATGGCCATCACCGTTCTCACTACGTTCGTGTCCGTGTACCTGTCCATCCTGGCCGCTCGCAAGAGCGATGAGCTCCTCCTGAAGGAAATCATGGCGAAGAAAGGAGCCCCGTCTTCTGTGTCGCTGGGTGACTCCATGGCAAAACCTCCGAAAGATGACTACAGCACCAATTTTATATAACCTCGTAGCTGATAAAGTGAATCAATGCATGTTAGCGGCGTTCAATCCACTCCAAACGCTTTCTATCCCTGTTGGTGTATCTAGCTGAGATTAAAAATGGAGATGCGAATCGAAGCCAACGACGACGGCAATGCCAGTGTCCTCGTTGTTTGTGACCGACGCTCATTCTGCTCGCAACCGATCCGATCGCAGTGCTGTTTATGAAATATCCCAGACAAACTCGATGGCAGAGTGATCCTGCGTTCTCCAGGATGTAGTACTCAAGAATACACTTCGCCAGTCTCAGGATCACGGATGATCGAAACAGCATTTCGTAAATTAACTGAGCGTTAACAGAGCTCCGTTACGCTATTTCGACTACACGCCACGTTCTTCAAAGGTTACGGCCAACGCCACGCAGGTCATTTCGCTAGGAAAATGTAACCTGCATCCTGGGATTTGGATTCGTCGCGTGCCGAAATTGTGTCGGGTTGGCCGTGCCAACTTCACAATTCTCGTCACGCGTTGAAGATGTCATCGATCAAACCTTCATGTTCTGTCAAAAGTTTGCTGCATTGCGTTACTGATATCTTCAGTTGGGAACCTGAAATGGCAAGGCCTTCGTCGAGCGAGGACGCGAGTGGAGCATCAACGAGTATACAATGTCGGATGATGATTATTCCCGCTCAAACCATACGAAAATCCAGACATGTGCTTTGCTTGGAGTGCAATGAGCACAGCCAATTCCCAGTGTCCCACCCAGGCACTCATTATGTGCCATCATTCGCTTTCTTTCGAGCGTCATTATGCAGCAACAGTTCAGCTGCCAAACATTCGGGTGGATTGTCGCCGCGTGCGTGGAGGAGGGAAGCACAGAGCTACAGTTAGTTAGCTGTCCAACAGGAGATCGGTTCGGCAACACGAAGGCTTTACCCATTCCAGATTTTGCCAGCTCTAACTACATCTCGTCGAGCTCCTTTTGGCAACAACTGGAGACCAAAATACTGCTAGAACCATGCTCACTCGAAAGATCACTGGATGTGCACTCGCTGCATCGTTAGGACATGACTTCATATCCAATGTAAGTGCAGCAACAGCAACCTCGTACACAACCAAATCGGGCCTTCTACCATGGGTAGATGTCGATACGCCCTCCAGCGCGCAGAACTACACATCGTCACGAGGTGATGTCTGGACTCTGACTATGAGCGATGAGTTTAACGTCGAAGGTCGCAGTTTCGAAGCAGGTGACGATCACTTGTGGACGGCAATGGAGATCGCTGATGGTGTCAACTCCGCTCTAGAAGTTTACTCGACGAACATGACAGGCACCGAGTGCGATAGCGATGGCCACTGCTACTTTTTCATCAACACAACAGATGAAACTATTGAGGAAACGGTGTGGAACAGCTACATGTCACCACCCGGATACGAGACTGTGTACTTTTACTACCGGTCTGGAATGGTTCAGAGCTGGAACAAGTTCTGTTTCCAAGGCGGTATGATCGAGGTTCGAGTGCAACTACCCGGTGCAGTTACGAACGCGTCTGGCAATCCGGACGTGGAGACTGGATCGACCACAGTTCGTGCCGCTAACATCGACTACTACCCGACATGGCCCGGTATTTGGCTCATGGGTAACCTCGGTCGAGCCTTGTTCAGTGCATCGACGAGTCGGATGTGGCCGTACACGTACAACGAGTGCAACGACACCATCTTCGACTCACAGAATCAACGTATTAGTGCGTGCAATGATACGCCTGGACATGGTTTGAACGCGAATCAGGGTCGCGGAGCTCCAGAGATTGATATTCTGGAAGGTGGAGGTACTGCTATATCATCGTCAATCCAGGTCGGTCCGGGTATGCCCGAGGATTTCCGAATGCTGGAAGATAACACCACAGCGTCTTCTTACTGTTTCTACAGCTACGACTGTACCACCGAAGGTGCCAATAACCAGGACGTCCCGACCAAGTACTACTGGAATCTGCGTGGCCACAAGTCTTGGTATCAGGGTCTTCGGTATGGTGCCAACAACATCTGCGATGTTGAAGACGACGACATTCAGACATTCGCCACTGTCAATGCTTCACTTGCAAAGGGTATCACAGCCAATGCCTGTACAATGGAGTTGTGTCCTGCCTCGTATGATGTGAACGGTGACATGGGATACAAGGACAATGGCACGGTGCACTGGGGCATTAACACGAACGGAACCTGCTTTCCCAAACAGAACGCTTACATGGGTGCATACCTTTGCAGCCCCGGCAATACCAACTCGGAGTGTACAGCCTCAAGCGGCTCTACCAGTTCCAGCTCGGAATTCGCGTACCAAATGGATGCTATTTCAACAGACTGGGAGATTCACATGGCTGCATACTTGGATTGGGTGACATATACAGTCGAATGGGTCATGGGAGACTCTGGATACGTTCGGTGGGAAGTGGAAAACCAAGTGATCTTTGAGATCCCGGCAGAGTCGATCATTAATCCGCCACAGGACACAGCACAGATGAACCCGAAGAAGATCATGATTGAGGAGCCCATGTACATCATCTTTAACGTCGCTCTCTCCAGTTCCTGGGGTTCTTCCCCTCCCAACGCTGGGTCAGGAAGCTGCCGTGGTGATGGCTCGAGCTCAACGGACAATGCGATCTGTGACTCGTTCCCGATGTACCTGAAAATCGACTATATCCGTTTGTACCAGGACACATCGAGCAATACAGACATGGCGATTGGTTGCGATCCTTCGTCCCACCCGACTAAGCAATGGATCGAGGACAACATCGACGACTATACGGATACGGACAACCCGTACACTGCTGTATCTGGTATGGCATTCTGTAATTCGGATGATGACTGCACAGTCGGCACGTCGTCGGTCATCACGGGTTCGTGCAATTCAGACGGACGTTGTGAGTGCGCGTCCAACTCGTGGACAGGCCCTCGATGCACCGAAGTGGCCAGCGTTAGCGACGACGATACTCTGTTCGGGCCGCCGCTTTTCGTCTCAATTATTGTCGCCATTGTCGTCATCGCTGTCGGAGTCTGCGTCATTCTATATCAGCGCTGGCAGACCAAGCAGATGAGTCTCAAGATTCGCGCACAGGAGCACGAGAAGGAGCTCAAGGCCGCATCCAGGGTCTCCGATGCCAGCGCCAAACTGGAGAAATCCATTAACGATGCAAGCGGCAACAAGGCCGACTACGCAACAAACTTCGTATAGTATAAGACCATCACTCTTGTGAATCAAAAATTGAAGAAATCAAGTTGAAGTGAAAGTGTATCCATAACCTATCGTTCATCATTGTTGAACCTCCCGTATTTCATGTTGCCTTTCTCCCATTGATGGCACCAGATCAGGCATCTTGCCATTAGATCGGCATTTATCTTGACCACCATGGCAACTCCAAACCGCTTCGTTGCGGGGCCGTCCTTCTACAACTACGATATGTATGGCGGGTTACGTCCCGGCGGCCTAGTGCGGTTCTTCTCGTCCGAGTTCGTGGGGCTCGTGGCCGCCACATTCACGTCCGCGTTCGTCTACATCGGCGTTCGCTACGGTCTATTACTCATGGTCAGCAGCAAGTTGCAGCTCAGTGAGGACCAAACCGAGGCAATGGACCGATTGGTGGAGATCCCAGCTGCTGTGGCCTTCTTCGTGGGGCTCTACGCCGACGCGGTGCCTCTCTGGGGCTCGAGACGCAAGTCCTATATGGTCCTGGGCATGGCTTTCAGTCTGCTGTGCTTGGCTCTCATTGGCCTTGGCTGTCTCTTCGCAGAGGACTTGGACAGCGCTATGGGCAACAGCTTCAGCTACATCATGATGCTGCTTATGGGCGGCGTGAGCTTCGGCTCCATGATAAACTTCTGCTCGGTACACACGGCGGTTGTAACGTTGTCCCAACGCGAAAGTCTCGAGAGACGAGGAGTCTTCCAGGCTGACTATTTGGTCGTAAGAGCAACAGGCCAGATCTCGGCTAGATTGCTGGTGTATTTGATCCAGAATGTCGTAGAAAAGGTCGAGATCTCGCTGATCTTATTGGCCTTGATGCCGTTATCAGTGACGACGATCGCTGTGGTGATAGGAGGCCTTGATGAGCCGCCAGCATATCGGAAAGAAAGCTTGAGATGCAAGTGTGAGAGCTACTGGAAACTCACTAAGCAGAAGGCGGTATGGAAGATCTTGGTGGTGATTGCGAGCTTCGCCTTCTTCCTTAACTTCGCCTTCCCATTGGTCACGAGTGCGTTAAGACAATGGACAGACACGACGGACAGCGCGTCCGCATTACTCAGTAGCAGCTTGAATGACTTGGTCATGATACTGACAGTGTTGCTGTGGCGATGGCAGCTTCGTAATATGTTGTGGAGGAGACTTTTTGCGTTGGCACCGACAATGACCATCACTCCTCAAATTATGATGGCGATTTTGGTTATCCCGGCGTTGTATCGGAGTTCAGCCGTTTATATTCTCCTGACTGGATTAGGAGGAGTGTCTTCGGGCGTCATGGCGTTGGCTCTGCTCGTTCCAGTCGCTGAGATCATCGAGGAAAGCTCGGAAGGAGGCGTCGTTGGACTCGCGCTGTCGTTTAACACCATCTTCAAGGTCTTCGCTAGCACGCTGCTTACAACTATCCAGCGAGCGTCGTACTTCCCGTCCAGTGACGAAGAGGACACGACGCACCGCCGCTGGTCTATCGCCATCCTCGAGCTCGTCACGTGCTGTGTCAACAGCTTCGCATTCGCAGTCATCCCCATCTTGCCACTGCAGAAGCTGGACGCGCAGCTCGTGCGCATGTATGGAGGATTCACTGACAGCGCCAGCGCGCTCACTGCCGCCGCTTTCCTCACGTCGCTCGCCTACTGCGTCGCGTACAACATCTACATCTTCAGCGTTGCCATCAACTAAGCCAGTCCACGTCGAACACGCTGAGGCTCCACGTCAAGAAGGCGTCCATTTCCAATGGCAATGGCTGCAATTTGCAGCCTGCAAGTGATCACTGCAATTCCAGCGTTCCGTAGACAAGTTTCCAAGCAAATCCAGGTGGCGTATGCATGCTTTTCAAGTTGTTTGTTGCAATTGACATGTCACAGTACCCAGTACAATTAATATCTACCATCACTCTAAGCATCTCTTCAAGCAGACATCCTTATTAAACTAAACAATCTTCTCGTTTATTCTTATTTCCCATTAAATCACTACCTAGATGATATATCGCTTTACGCAGGTGATACTGATAAGCTATTCCGCCGTCGTTTTCGTCGTCGCATTTCAGTTTTTCCCATGAGTCGAAGTGCCGAGTGCCAAGCCCAAGCCTCTGTTAATCCAGCCAAGCGCTGCGATGCAGGCCCTGTAGCCGAGCCAGAAGCCGAGTCAGTACTCGGTCGTGCCGTGCATCCAAGCACCAAGTTCGAGACCCCGTGGACGTGGTCTGGATGCATCATCGGCTGCAGTTACCTGCTCCTCCTCGTCGTTACAGCATTTCTGAATGCTACCTTCGTGTTGTGGCCACTGACTCTGCTCTGCTGGACGCGCATTCTCTCAATCCGCAGCTGCCGCTCAGTATTCCGCTTCCTGGAGGATAAATACTTCGCTATGTTAAGTGGATATTTGGAATTCGTTGGAGGCGTGAAGATTGTCATGACCGGAGACGAGGAGCTGCAGTTTGACCCTCAAGAGCATGTTCTCTTGATCTGCAATCATCGAAGTGAAGTAGACTGGATCTTCTTTTGGAACCTGGCACTGCGTCTCAATGTTCATGACCGTATTCGAGTCATGATGAAGAGTATTATCCGCTATGCCCCTGGTGTTGGTTGGACCATGATGCTGCTGCAATATCCATACATTAACCGGAACTGGGCCACGGACCAGGACAGATTAACCAAAGTGATTCAGTCGTATAAAGACGTGGATATGGGCACGTGGCTGGCCATGTTTCCCGAAGGAACGGCGTTGTATGACAAGACGCTCAAGAAAAGCCACAAGTTTGCCGAAAAGCAAGGAGAAGCGAGATGGAACTACGTGTTGCAACCACGAGTCAAGGGGTTTGAGTTGTGTATGGACAAAATGGACCCAGACTATGTCGTGGACCTTACAGTAGCGTATCCTGAGCTCATGGAGGGCGTTCGACCGTCACCGGTGCGTTGCTGCGGATTGCGGAGTATTATTTCGTTGAGACCAACCGTTGTGTATTGCTATTACAGGTGCGATTCGTGCGAGGACAGTTCCCGACTGAGGTGCACATGCATGTGCAGCGGTATCACCGGTCAACGTTGACGAAGCACAAGGACCACATGGGGCAATGGTGCGTTTGGAGTGTAATTGTACTTTTAGAATGTTTTTCTGATGAGATTTCTGGATAATAAGGCTGAAGGATCGGTTTGCTGAGAAGGAGGAGCGTCTTCGACGTTTCTACGAGACTGGCGCGTTTGAAGGCAAGCAGTGCGTGCGTCAGGATCTGCCACTATGGAACTCGGTGGTGCCAGGCACAGCATTCAATTTGGGGCTCTGCGGCGTTGCGCTTTATTGGCTTATCAACTTTCCTCTTGCTGCGTGCACATCGTTCGCGCTTAGCGCTGCGCTATCGGTGATCCAAGCACGTAACTTCGGTAACTAACGCGTAAAGAAGCAGGATCATCTACGACGTTGAAAAGTATTATGAAAGAGGAGTTGTAATGTATTTTTTTTTTTTTTGCGATATAAGGAACCGAGACAATGCGGTATTAATTCTGTTGTTGGCCGTGTGCCTTCAGACTTGGTGACGGCGAGAACTTAGCCGATTCTCGGAGTTCCGTTCGGGTGTCTTGAAGTCACCTCCGCAGCGTAAGCCTAGCTGAATACAGCGCTTCTGGACGTCCAATGAGGTTTTACCAGGCAGCCGAGCTGCCAGCATGCGAGCTGTGTCGCTTTGCTGGCCGCGTAGCAGACTTTCCTCTTCGTTTGTGAAGACCACCTCACTAACCTTCGGTCGCGACGACGCCTGTCGATATACCTGTGTGCCTTCAAGGTTACTGGTGCGGCCGTCCACACCACGGATAGCCACAAGGGCCAGCAAGAGCAGCACCAAGAGCAGCTTCATACTCGGTTTGTATGGTGCCTTTTGACTTGGACTTGGAATGATCTGAGCTGTTAGTCGAAAATACTTTTTTTTATTATTGGTAGCTGTTTTCTGAGGTATCTGTTGGTTTAAACGAAAAATGGATGTACTGTACCGGTAAGAATCGATTTAGTTTAGATACGTTCACGAACTTGGCCAATAAACTGACAACAACTGCCAAACTGCAGGACATTTGTTTCCTGCTTCCGACCACAGTTCAGCATGAACCTATGGAACAGCCTACAACTTCAACTTCCTATGGCTACCACATCACGAGCCTCAAAGTCTAGAGGCAGACAGATGGACCACAAGCACGCACACGGCACTAGCTGGACCGACATTCCATTCACTGCCGGCTCCCTCCGTAGACTACACCATGGAATTCGAACAACAGTCTCATTTTCCAACTTCGGACAAGTCTCCACTGTATCCGCATGGCTTACTCCACAACTTGCATAGTCGAGATCGTTTCTCGCGATGCAGGATCGACAATTCGGTGCGTCTGTCGACGATAACTTGACCAATTTACTAGGCTTTCGGCCCATCGTGCTTTACGACACTCGAGTTGACACGATTGACGAATCGTTGACTCTGTCCCGATCAAGGAAGGAGCAGCAGCTTCCCCACTTCTCCACGCTCTCCAGTCACGAACTCGACGAACTCGACGCCGAGCGTTCCTCATGCGCATCACCACAGGACCACCAGCAAACGAAGACCCCCACCGAGTCATACCCTCCACCACGGGAGCGAGGATTTGCTGTAGGTGACGCGATGTTCAACTACCGAGCACTTGGCAGTTTACGCACCGGACTTGCCCCCATAGCGCTACTCAGTCGATGGCACGCCGGACTTGCAGTCACCGCCTTCGCATCAGGAGCGACAGTCGCCGTTATGCACTCTGCATATCGTCCGCTGTTAATTTCGACGCTGAATGACCATTTTAAGAGGAAGTATGACCAAGGAACGGCTTTACTGGATTGGGGCGAGATTCTGTCGGTATTCCTCGGACTCTTTTCGGACTGTGTTCCGATATACGGAACTCGACGTAAGGCCTATATCGCTCTTGGATGGATACTCAGTGCATTGAGTTATGGCAGCGTGTACGCGATTCACTTGCGTGAAATTCATGGCGTTAAACAGCCTGGCCCATTGTTCGGACGTTTGTTGGAGCTGTGGAGTATCGTAGGTAGCTTTGCACTTCAGTTGTCGTGGGTGGCTGCATTAGCGTCGATCGTGGGGTTTGGACAACGAGAGGCTCTAAGTGAACGCGGTGGATTGGCCACGTTGTTTTTAATTATTTGGCAAACAGGGGCATTCACCGCTCACTTCGTTGTTGCAGAATTCCAACCGAGACTTACACTATTAAACACTAGCGCTGGCATCGCGATAACATCGTTGGTTGTACTCCCTTTCGTGTTGTGCTTTTTACACGAAGACGACGAGCAGGAGTCAGCGACGACGCTATCGACGAAGCGAGTCGGAGTATTACCGGCGCTGCGTACGGGAGTTAGTCAGCTATGGGAGGTTTGTCAGGAGAAAGTGACTTATCGTGTACTGTTGTTCTTGTTGGTATACGGAGTATTGCTCAGGGCTTGTGACCCGGAAGTGGACAACGCTCTGGCAAGTTGGAGTGACTTTGAGGACACAGATCCGTGGGTACTCGTGATAATGAGCGGCGTGGGAGTTGTTGCATTGATTCAAGCGAAATGGAGACTACTGAATACTGCGTGGCGGCCGTTGGCCTTCATTGGTGTCGGGATTGTAGTCCTTGCTGCTGTTGTACGAGCAACGATTATTACGACGGATACTGTCCATTCTAACTGGTTCTTCTCGATCTTTACGGGGCTCATGGTGTGGCCAAGGATGTGGATTTTACTGTTTACAGTACTGACGACTACGGAGATAGCGCATGTGGGTTGTGAGGGCGTCACTATGGGTCTTGTACTCTCGGGCCAAGGACTCGGCAACTCGGTACTGAATGCAGTCACAAGATGGATCAGTGATGCCACGAATACTCGAATTACTCAGAGTCTGATTGACGAAGACTCACGCAGCATTCGAGTTCGTGTTCTGTTCGTAGCGGTTGCTTACGCTGCCGTCAATTTATTCGCTGCAGCTTCGGTACTATGGCTCCCACGTTGCAAGCTTGAGGCTCAACAGCTCCGTGCTTTCGGAGGTTATAGCAGGAAAGGTGCCGCATTGATCGTGGCGCTGTTTGTAGTACTACTAGCGCTCGTCATCACTACAAATTTTCACATAGTTTAGAGACTAAAGACTCTCACTCTCGTAGAAGAGAGTACTAATCCAATATTATTTTTTTTGCAGCTTCATCGTTGTCCGCCTTTGTGTGTAGATCGTTGTGTACGTTCACTATGAGTGTCCGATTTCTTCTTCGCTTGTACGATTCGTTTTATTGTTTCCTCTTCTTTACGCAATTCATCGTCCTTTTTCGCTTTGATCTCACGCATAGTCATCTTTTGACGATGAAGTAGTTCATCACGGTGAGATCCTCTGTTGAACCTTTTTCCAGCTCCATTCTGCTTTCGTCGGGGCGGAGCAACGATAACAATTTTGTGCTCACTGCTTGAATCGACCCCTTCCAATCCATTTCCATTCATTTCAGCCAACTCGAACGTCAATTCATCGACTTGTTCATCTATTTGCTCGCTTTCCTGTACGTCAGATTCTACCGGCTTTATGGGCTCTGGTTGAGGGAGCAGCGACTTCCAATACATCCCCACTGAGTGCACCCAGTATAGCTGACGGAACATGGCTCCTAACTTCCCACGGACGTATTTTTTGCGATATAGTGCAGTGATCAGATCGCTCTCTGTGTCCTCGACACCCATTGCCTTACGCCACTGAGATTCCACCTGCAAATTGTGTCCTACACGGTTGAGTAGTTCAGCATGGGACAGTTCATCCCGTTCACGTACGCCGCGAAGACCTCGTAACACCTTGCGGTACATAACTCGAGACTTTTTTCGTGTTTCTTCTCGACGCCGATGAAATTCTCGAAATTTATGCTGAACTCGCAGTACTGCTCGTACAACTAGAGCCTGACGGAATAATCGACGACCAGTATGTCCTCGAAAGCATCGTTGGATTTGTCTGGCGCTGAAGTCTAAGAGGTTTGCGTACACTTGGGAGAGGTATCGTTGTTCGGCTTCGAGTGAGTTGACAATACGTGAAGCTTCCTCCAAGTCTAAGTCGAATTGTTCCTGGGTTTGATTCATCCTAGTAAAACTATCTCGTACTCGGGCTTTAACGCGTTTTAATTCATCTATGGACTTCTCCAATGGTGTCTTCGAAAAATCTTCAGGTTGAGATCGACCTGGAGCTTTGCTTGAACAGGCATTTGAGCTCGAAAAATGTGGCAATAAAGTACGAGGACGAGACGACGCGATCTCTCGACGAGTGAACGGCAAATGTGTAGGAGGTCGAGGCAACACCGTCGAACCGAGCAACGGCAGTGGAGGCCTAGCCATCGTAAGAAAAATAATTTAATGAGGTCGTGAATTAGACAGGATCAACTTCTAAAAATGGAGATTTAGTCTATTTTCAGGCTTTCTAACTGTGTTTACTTTTATCTAAAATATAATTTTAAAAAGAATATTTAAAAAATGAATCTGCGGTAATTTATTGTTGCTGATTAGACAAAGTTCTGACTGTAGTTATCTTTCAGCCGTCTTTGTGAGGCTCTATCTGACGTACGCTTAACTTGTTGTAGTTGCACGTCCTCGTGAATACTTGGAGTCATTTGTGCGTCTTTCTTGACCTGCTTCTTGAGCTGCAGTGCTTCCTTGTTCTGATTCTTAACAGACCACATCACCGAGACGAAGCTGAAGAAGATAAGAACTGCTGCGACGCCGACTGATAACCCCATCGGCGGACCGTAAGAGCTCAACGAACTGAATGTCTTCGTAGTAGTAGAAGAACTTGATGAAATGGCCGTCGTACATCGTGGTCCTCCCCATGAAGACGAGTACGAACACTCACATCGCGACTTGACACATTTGCCAGTCTTCAGTGCAGTCTTACCCAAAATTCCACCAATGGTACAGTCGTCGTCGATAGTGCAGAACGCCTTACCAGCGACTTCTTTGTGGTGATTATCGTCGTCTTGGTACTCGTCAATGTGCGCTTGAATCCACTTCTTGGTCGGATGACTCGCTGGGTCACAGCCTACCTGCATGTAGTTATCATCTTCGAGATCATTACCCAAGTCCTGATACAGACGAATGTAGTCGATCTTCAGGTATAGCGGAAACGAGTCACAAATTTTGTTAACCGCTTCATCAGATCCGTCACCACGGCATTCCTTGCCTGGATTAGGAGGCGTAGCACCCCACGAGCTCGACAGCGCGACGTTGAAGATAATATACATCGGTTCCTCCAGCATGATCTTCTGAGGATTCGTCTTGTTTGAGTTCTGTGGAACATCCCAGATCGATTTGGACGGGACCTCGAACAACGGATTACCTTGAAGCATCCAACGTACGTATCCGTTCTTACCGGTAACCCATTCTAGCTGGTACACGACGAAGTTTGTGTAGGCACCGAGATGTACTGGCCAATTGGCCGAAATGGCGTCCATTTGGTAGTTAAACGAACTCATCGCGTTCGATTTCGGCGTCGATTCGTTTCGTGGACTGGCACATTTCGAGAAGGAATTGTCGGGGTCACACAGATAGGCACCGGTATACACGTTAAACAGTGGATAGCAGGTACCGTTCGAGTTGATACCCCAGTGTTCGGAGCCTGCATCGTCAATCAGTCCCAAGTCTCCGTTAACGTCATGTGACCCAGGACACGTCTCGGTGGAGCACGTATTCTCGGTGATACCAGTCTTAATCGAAGCAGCAATCGTATCGTAGTCCTGCTTAGCATCAGCACTGGGTGAACAATGGTTGTTCGCAGCGTACCGCAGACCTTGATACCAGGATTTGTGACCACGTTTCTCGTAGTACGCGGTTGGAACACCCACGTAGTTGGCACCTTTAGTCTTGCAGCCTGCAGTGTAGATGCACGAAGAAGAATCCCCAGACGAGTAATCGACACCGTAAATACGGTATTCGTCAGGCATTCCTGGACCTATTTGAAGTGACGATGACACTAGAGTACCGCCGCCTTCCAGTACGTCAATCTCAGGAGCTCCTCGTCCTTGATTCGGGTTCAAACCGTAGCCAGGATTGTTGTTGCAAGCGCTGATACGTTGATAACTTGGTTCGAAGAGATCGGGTTCGCACTTATCGTACGAGAACGGCCACATTCGGTTCGTAGAAGCCGAGAAAATGGCTCGACCGAGGTTCCCCATCATCCAGATACCCGGCCACGTTGGATAGTATTTGCCACTCTCGACCTTTGTGTTGTCTCCTTTGGCCAGATCTGGATTTCCAGATTCAGTTGAAACAGCCCCCGGAAGTTGGACACGAGCTTCGACCATTCCTCCTTGGTAGCAGAATTTGTTCCAGGATTGTACCATTGCAGATCTATAAAAGAAATACGCATCCACGTAGCCTGGAGGGTGCGTGTACATGTTGTAGACGTGGATTACGTTGACTTCATCGATTGATTTAATGAAGAAATAGCAGGTGCCGTCGTCGTCGCACTTGGTTGAGGTCATATTGTGCGAGTATAATTCCAAGGCACCGTTGACTCCGTCCGGTTTTTCTAGAGACATCCAGATATGGTCATCACCAGGTCGGAAGCTGCGGTTTGGCGTATTGAACTCGTCGCTCATGACTAAGTCCCATTGGCGTCCACGCGAACTGATGTACGTTTGATGGTCCTTGGGGGTGTCCGGGTCGACCCACGTTTTGATACCAGATCTGGTTGGGTAAGTGGCATCCGGAATCGTTGCATTCTTAGCTGTAGTGACCGATGCGACCGCCACCCAGACTACGCCAACAACCGACGATACAAGTCGATGAAGCCGCATCAATGCGAATGAAAGAACCGGCAAGTGCACACTAGAATGGCAATTTAACAAATGCTAAATCGGATAGAACCGAAAGCTGGCAAAGCTAAGAAAAGCCTCGCAGGCAACAAGGTCAAGGGGATCAGTTCCAGAGGTAAGAACTGCATTTCTGTACTGTACATTCAAAAACTTGTGTTTTGTTGCATATCTTGAGCTAAAAACGAGATATTTCGGCAGCGCTATGTATCATGATAATATATGTTCGATACATGTGCGCAACTCGGGATTATCCTCGGTAAGAAAACACTAGGAGCTGTGATCCGTGACCCGCTTTCTCAACGACGACATTGTTTCCTCCCTGATTCTTCCCCAATGCTCTGTAGCGCAGTCTCCACCTTGCGTTTCTGCTGTCGGTTTCCCGTTCGTAAAAACTTCTTCAGTAAATTAACAGCCCCATGGCGCTTCATGACGTCCCTGTTAGCTGCATCATTTGCAGCCAACCGCCCCAACACAATCGCTGCCCGCTCCTTATTCGCAGTATTGTCCGATTTAAGCAGATCGACAAGTGGTGCGATAGCTCCACACTCCACGATCATTTTCTTGCAGGTGTCAATACGCGCGAGACGTCCAAACGCATTAACTACAAAATGTTTCTGCTCATCCCTCCCCTCTCGGAGAAATGGCACCAACAGCGAAATTATGGTCCTAGTCGCTAATGCTCTCGTGTTAGTGCGACCGCGATCGGTAAGATAACACAGCGCAAACACTCCCTTGTCTTTCTCCTCGTGTGATCCACTGCGAAGCAGTTCGACAAGCAATTCGATCACCTCGTCGCTTATGATCTCTCGTCGTTGCTCTTCATTGCTGTGAGCAATCCAGCCCAATATTTGAGCTGCCACCATCTTTTGCTCCTTGTTTCCGGTCCGGAGAAGACTCAAAAAGGGGTCAACTCCTCCTTCGTCGACAATTTTCTGGCTGTGGTATTCAGCTAGACTTCCTAGTGTCAGAAGAACGTGCTCTTTTTGGCCTTCTGTTCCATCTCGAAGCAAGGCCATAAGGAGCGAGATAGCACCGATCTCCACCATATCAGTACAGAATGCAGTGTCCAACGCAAGATACGACAATGCATAGGCTACACTCTCTTTCTGGTCTTCCGTTCCTCGTCGTAGAAGAGCGATAAAATCCGTGATGACTCCTCTTCGACCAATTTCTTGTCGGTTTTCCTCTTGGTTGCTAACCCAGATGCTGCATGTGTTTTATGGGTATTTGTTCCAGACCGGAGAAGTTTAATCAACGCTGAATGCCCCCATTTCTCGCAATTTCTAAACCGTAGTCATCATTGACGGCAGCAATGCCATCCAGCGCAAAGGCGGCGAAGTTCTTGGGGATATTCGTTTGCGCTCGCAGAAGGCCAACGAGAAAGGGGATTGCGCCACCTTCCACGATCATGGCGCTGTTGGAAGCAGTTTCGACGCTTAGCTGACCCAACACACAAGCAGCAAAACCTCTCTGTGTTTCACTGCCATTTTTTAAGTGCTCCAACAACATGGGGATGGCTCCTTCGGCTACTATTGCACTGTTGGCATCGCCGTCGCAAGCCATATTGCCCAGTGCATCCATCGTCCAGATCGTGATTGTTTCATTTCCATTTCTAAGTAGCTTAACGAGAGGTGGGATTATTCCAGCGTTAAGTAGCGGTTTTCGACCGATCGTCCCAGCTGTACACGTGCAATACACCACAGTCTTCACTTTATCTCGGTCGCTTTGATCTTGCAAGGCCTGTATGATAGAGTTACATTCAGTATTTGCGGCAGCTGGAATAGTTTCTCGAAGTTCTTCAAACTCGTCGTCCGACGGCGTTGAATCGAGCTCAGAAGACCAACACAAACACCCCAAAGCGCATACTTTCAAGAAATGGGTTCGCCCATTTTTCACCAAGTCAACTAAAATGGGTACTCCATTTTCGTCCAGTATCTGGTGGCGTTTGTGGTCTCGGATGCAGACTTGTAACAACAGTAAAACTGCACTTTCTTGTTCCTCGATAGTTTCGCTACGAAGCACATTGACAAGGTCTCTAACAGACGTGTCGGTGTTTAATTCCATCGGGGTGTTCGGGGATCCTGGTGGCCCACAACTTGAGCGTGATTCTTCCTTAAGACCCAATTGATTTCCACACTGCGCACAGCAACGAGAATGATTAAACACCAGCGCTGCACACGTAATGCAACGCGTTGTTCCACCCTGTCGTGGTTCATCCAAATCCTCCATAGAAAACCTCTTTAACGTATCAATAACGTGACTAAGCTCGGCTCGTTTAGAAGGATCAACATGAGTCATTGCAATGACGAGTTCCCACTCCTCGTCATTCATCTCATCGGGTTTTTCAGGGATCACTCCACATTTCAAGTTTTCGCGAACGTCGTCGTCCTCTAAGTACGCGAACGGAGGCTCGCCAACCGTAGCTTCAATCATGCACATGGCCAAAGAGTAAACATCGGAAGCGATAGTTGGTCTACGCTTCAGACATTCTGGAGCACGCCAACGTAAACGAGCTGAACTGGAAGTACTAGCCTTGGAAATAGCACGCATAGTGTTTAATCCAAAATCCGAAAGCTTAGCTTGACCATCGGTTCCGACCAAAATGTTACTCAGTTTGAGATAGCCGTGTACCATCCCTTTACTGTGCATATAATTCAATCCGAGAGCTGCTTGATAAAGCAGTTTCCACATTCGTTTCCTGTTATCGTCCGATAAGGACAGATACGAACCCATGTCTCCGTTAGTCGCGTCTTCACATACTAGAAAAGGTGGCGAACTGACATGAGAAGCACCAAACATTTTGACAATATTAGTGTTTTCCATCTGGAGTAGACAGGGCTTGTGCCCTCAGCTCCCTAGTAGCAGCCGAAAAATGGTGAGTTCGTACTTACAGCCCGTTAAGTATGAAATCGCAAGGTACGGGTTTATTATATTATAGATTGTGTAAAGTTTCGAATACTGGTTATTACAGGATTTCTCCAGGATAAAGGATAGGACTCGTACTTAAGCGCAAGTAATAATCTTAGGCTCCATTGCACAACAAAAAAAAGTTTTCAAGCTCTAAAAACCTTGACTTTTTTAAAACATAAAATTTAGAATGAGAGACCAGTCCAGTCACATTGCCATTTCTCCCGTACAATATTGTATTCAGTTACTTTTACGTAGTCCTCATTGACCCTGACTCATTTGTAGAACGGGAGTGAGGCTTAGTGAGGCTTTGCTGTGGACATGGGAGCTTGGCATGGCGTGGTTGTTGTAGTCATGCTGGAAATGCTGCGAGTTTAAGCAATTTTATTCACATAAAAAAGTCACTCAAAAATAATCCTGGACCGTTCATGATCTGCGTAAACTTCACCACATCTTGTTGGCTCTTCCGTCACTGAAGTGCGATCTACAAGAAGTTCTGACTGTAATTATCCTTTGGCTGTGGCGTAATATCGTATTCTGAAATGGACAGATTTATGGGGAACGACGGACGTGTTTGCTCCATTTTCTTCTCTTCTGCCGTCTTGATAGCCTCATCTGCCTGTTTCTTCAGCGTTCGCACGGACATCCAGGCAGCGATAAAAGTCGATAAAAGTGAAATGATTGCCACAGTGAGAGATACCCCCATGGAGGGACCATACGTACGCTGCATAATGGCTCCCGTGCTGGTCGATTCTTCAGCGAGAGCAATAGTGCATCTTGGTCCACCCCACGAATCCGGATACGAGCAGACACAGCGAGATTCGACGCATTTTCCCGTGACTAATTTTCGACTCCCGTTATTACCAATAGTACAGTCATTGTCAGTCTCGCAGAAACCTTTACCAACTACCTCCGTCCAGGGATTATCAAAGTCCTCGTACTCATCCAAGTGACCTTGAATCCATTCTCGTGTCGGGTGGCTCGCTGGATCACATCCAAGTTGCATGTAGTCGTCCTTACCACGATTCCCTTTAGGATCCTGGTACAATCGGATATAATCAATTTTCAGGAACATCGGGAAGTCATCGCAAATTTTGTTGACAGTCTCATCGGTACCATCGCCACGACATTCGTAACCTGGATTAGGGGGTGCTGCACCCCATGAACGTGACAAAGCCACGTTGAATATAATCGACATCGGTTCCTCTAACATGAGTTTTTGCGGATTATTTTTCTTGTCATTTTGAGGAACAACAGAGAAAGCCTCCGCTGTAACTTCAAAGAGAGGTTGACCGGCCCCCATCCAGCGTACATATCCATTCTCTCCAGTCACCCACTCGACTTGATACACGAAATAGTCCATATACGCGCCTAAATGCACCGGCCAATTTGCTGAGATTGCATCCATTTGGTAGTTAAACGGCTCCATCGAGTTACTTTTCGGTGTGGTAGAGTTGCGCGGTTCGAGGCATTTTTCATCGGTATTATCCGGGTCACACAAGTACGAACCCATGTATGAATTCATAACCGGGAAGCACGTACCGTTGCTGTTGATACCCCAATACTCCGAACCGACTCCGTCGATCAGTTCCAAGGCACTGTTCGGGTCAAGTGACCCTGGGCACGTCTCAATCGTGCACGTATTATCTGTGATTCCAGCTTTCAGCGACGCTTTAATCGTATCGAGATCCTGTTTTTCATCCGCGGTGGGAGCACAAAAGTTGTTCGAAGCGTAGCGAAGACCTTGATACCAGGACTTATGGCCACGCTCCTTTTCGTAGTACGTGGTCGGAATGTCAATGAGGTTCGCACCGGGTGTCTCGCAATTGTACTGGTACACACAGTATATATTCTTTGCGTCGTATTTTTCTTCCGCTGGGAACAATCTGAAGTCACTGGGCATTCCAGGCGCAATCTGTAAGGATGACGAGATAGCCACCCCGCCTCCTTCTAAGATATCGATCTCAGGGGCTCCACGGCCTTGGTTCGGGTTCAACCCGTAGCCTGGATCATCGTCGCACGCGCTGATACGTTGATTTCTTGGGTCAAAGATATCTGGCTCGCATTTGTTGTAGGAGAATGGCCACATTCGACTCGTGGAAGCTGAGAAAATAGCACGACCGAGGTTCCCCATCATCCAAATGCCCGGCCACGTCGGATAGTAGCTGCCACTTGTTACTCGTCCGGATTTACCGAGTGCAAGGTCTGGATTCCCAGAATTCTTGGATAGTGCTCCTGGTAGTTGAGCCCGTACCTCCATGAGACCACCTTGATAACAGAATTTGTTCCATGACTGCACCATTCCTGCTCTATAGAAAAAGGACACGTTCTCGTACTGAGGAGGATTCAGGTACGCGTTGTATACGGTTATCTCGCTCACATCGTCAATGGCTTCGATGTAGAAGTAGCACGTTCCATCGGCGTCGCATTTCGTGGAGGTCATGTTGTGGGAATAAACTTCGAGGGCTCCGTTCACGCCGTCAGGTTTCTCTAGCGAAGTCCAGAGATGGTCGTCGCCCGGTCGGAAGCTTCGGTTTGCTGTGTTGAACTCGTCGCTCATGACGAGCTGCCATTTCTCACCTCTGGATGTTGTGATCGATTGTGCGCTGGCTGGCGTCGCTGGGTCCACCCACGCTCGAAGACCAGACTTGGTAGGGTATTCCTTTTGATTCGCAGCAGCTACCGGGAAAGTATACAATGGAGCGTTCCATAGTGACAAAAAGAGCGCGAGTGCTCGTATCATGGTGAGAACATGCGCGTGGTGCAGTGTTGTTGGCTAGTTTATGAGTGGAGGCTTCCAAACCATTTGCAATTCTTGTTGTTCCCTTGCAGCCAGAAGTATAGAACGCTACTGTACACAAATTACTTGCGTTCGGAGACAGCCCCGACTTGTTGTTATTGTCACCAACGTAGCACCACATCTTGACGTCTCTTGGTATCATTACGCTGACTACAATTTTTTCTTGGCCTGGCCATCGATCGACAGTTTCGATCGAAAGTTGAAAAGTACCAGGAAGAGGTAGAGCTACCAGTCTGTTCAGCAGCAGATCCTAGTTTGTGCGCGCATAGCTGAGCGAAGCCTTACTCATGGAGAGCTGATACCAGTGCACGCTTGAACATGACCCCGTTCCGGCTCGTTGTTCATGAATTTCGGTGCACACTTAAATTCGTTGGCGTCGACTTGTCATTTACTCAATAGTTCGGCACGGCGTAAGTCTAAGAAACGTTACAACTATTTTCGTCGCCACTACGGTGCAACGAGATCAGCCCACTGGACGCCGACGATACTTGCTGCGCGCTCTTCCATGTTGGAACCGCGCACAGCATGGTGTAAACACTGTTGTGGCTGTGGAGAAGCCGGAACTGCTTCCAGGCTGAGATCGGGCAGTTTATTTAGCTAATAACATTGACTGTGAAAGGCTGAGACATATCGCGATGTGCATCGTTTAATTGTCTTGGCATCAGAAAAAAAAACGAGCAATCGGTCGGAATGTAAAACACGTTTTCTTATTGAAGTTATTTGGCGTCAACGAGACGCCATCGCTATAATAGCACTCCCTCGAAGCTTCTCTACTGTAGAAAGCGCTTGCTTGGTAAATACTTATAAAGAGTAAAATGCCGAGCTCGCCGACACAAACACAGCACACTGTTTAGCCTTGTTGACTAAGCGATCATGTTGACTCGAGTGCGAGTGTGGCTAATCAACTCCTTCGATTTGAGGCTTTTGCGGTTAGAAATCGTTGAGTCTTTCCACCTGTAATGCAGAGCTTGCGAAACGGCGTGCTTCGGAGTGACCGACAGTGTCGGTCCGACACACGATATGGGTTGCTATGCCTTGAGAACAGCAACACGATGAAGAGACATTAGCAACTCGAGACGCAGACGTCATGGTCTCCGAACGATGTAGTTTTGATCCCCTGCGTAAACTAGAAAATGATGTTCAGTTCGATGTGCTGAAGCACTATTAGTACAGATCAAGAATACAGCGCATGTACAACGTACAGTACATGTACGGTCACCCGCGTCCGCAATTCCGTTCCCGCAGGAAAACGTAAATTGCTGTGCTCGGATAGACGCCTTTTGGTTCACTGCAGCCATCTATCCATTGATCATCACCGCATTGCGTTGTTGTGGGCTTCAAGTCGGGCAAGTCGGGCTGATTACGCAGGCACATGCAGAGTAACGAATGGATCAAACAGAACGTCTGGAGCTGTGAGAAATGCTGGCACAGCGTGCCAGGCTCTCTTGGTATTCGGATGATCAATTTGGGACCCACTCGGCGAGTTGCCGCCTCAAGTTCACAAACCTGTCCAAGACACAGTAGTATATTGACATGGGTGTTCGCCAATACTCAACGTGGGCTTTTGCCGTCGGTTGGGCCGTCATGGTTGCCTGCGTTACGGCCAAGAACAGCACCACTGGAAGCACCACGTTTCCGACCAAATCGGGCATCAGGATCTGGGTCGACCCCGCCACACCCGACGACCGTCAAACGTACACCAGTTCACGCGGTCGGCAATGGGATCTCGTCATGAGCGACGAGTTCAACATGCCAAACCGCAGCTTCCGACCTGGTCACGATCATATCTGGACTTCTCTTGAGAAACCTGACGGTGTCAACGGTGCAATGGAGCTGTACTCGCACAACATGACTTCCACTAAGTGTGACGACGACGGAACGTGCTACTTTTACATCAAAGCTATCGACGAATTCAGCGTCATCCACGTCTACAACATGTACATTCATCCTCCACAGTTCGTTGACGCCTACTTCTTCTATCGCGCGGCGATGGTGCAGTCCTGGAACAAGTTCTGTTACCAAGGTGGCATGATCGAAACGCGCGTACAACTCCCAGGCGTAACCACATCCGATAATCCAGATATTGCACTCGGCAAGGACTCAAAGGTGAAAACGGGCAAGTACTACCCGACTTGGCCCGGTATCTGGATGATGGGGAATCTCGGTCGAGCCATTTTCTCGGCATCGACTAACCGCATGTGGCCGTTCTCATACGATAAATGTGAGCCTGATCTGTTCGACCCAAGCTACCAACGTATCAGTGCGTGCAACGACAACCCCGGCTACGGATTGAACCCGAACCAAGGCCGTGGTGCGCCTGAGATCGATGTGTTAGAAGGTAGTGCGTCCCTTGTGTCGTCGTCGCTCCAGATTGGCCCAGGCATGCCTGATGAATACCGTGTTATGGGGATCAACTATGGACAAGACCCACCTTCGTGTATCTACGGCGGTACCTGTACCACCCCCGGCGCGAACTACGTCGGTGTGCCAACCGCCGTTTACAACAAACGCGGCCACAAGTCCTGGTATCAAGGCTTGCGTTATGCGGCAAACAACTACTGCAAGCAAGACCCCAAAGCTAAGCAGGACTACAGTACGATCGCTGCTTCAATGAAGGCCGGAATTACCGAGAACACGTGCTCGGTGGACGTTTGTCCGGCATCTACGGATGCGTATGGCGACCTGAGCCTGATTGACGGCAAGGGAGAGGATCACTGGGGTATCAACAGCAACGGCACGTGCTATCCGCTTTGGAACGTGTACACTGGAGCCTACTTGTGCGACCCAGACAACACATACTGGAAGTGTGCCAAGCCTCGAAATGCTACCACAACGCCCAAGTCGAACGCCATGAGCCAGTTTAATTATCAAATGGACGCTATCTCGGCCAATTGGCCTGTACATGTTGGTGCGTACACAAACTTTGTCGTGTACCAACTTGAATGGGTCACCGGTAAGAACGGCTACGTGCGCTGGATGTTGGGCGGAAGCCCGTTGTTCGAGGTGCCGTCGGAGTCGATCTGGAACGTCCCGCAGAACGCGAACAAAACGAATCCTGAGAAGATCATGCTGGAGGAGCCGATGTATCTGATCTTTAACGTCGCGCTGTCAAGTTCATGGGGTGCTACACCGCCCAACCCGGGCAAAAAATGTCGTGGTGACGGCTCCGATGAAGAAGCCAACAAGATTTGCGACGCCTTCCCGTTGTATATGAAGATCGACTACATCCGTCTGTACCAGGACTTGGCAGACGACCTGGAAGAAGACAACTACATGCACGTTGGCTGTGATCCAGATACTCACCCTACCAAGAAGTGGATCGACGCTCATATCGATGAGTACGAGGATGACGACAATAAACACAAGGAGGTTGCCGGCAAAGCGTTCTGTACCGTGAATGATGACTGTACGATCGGAGGTAACTTGGGTAAGACGCTGTTGAAGACGGGGAAGTGTGTAAAGGGACGATGCGAGTGCACGTACTCATCGTCATGGGGCGGTCCGCGCTGCACGACAGCCATTTCCGGCTCAACCGGTTCATCTGGTTCGCTGGGTAAGACTCTCTCAAAGAACTCGTACGGTCCTCCGATGGGATTGTCGATCGTCGTAGCCGCGATAATTGTGATCCTCAGCTTCGCCTCCGTGGCATGGTCAATCATTAAAGAAAACAATGCGGCTGCCACCTTGGCGAAGAAGAAGAAAACTGCTGCGGACATGGGGCACTACAGCAACAGCAACGATGCGCGCCTGGAGCAGGTCAGGCACGTCACGGGTAGAGATTCGTACGGCAACGGTCACGTTCAAGGCCACGGCAACGACATTCACCGCCGGCCGAGGGACAACTACAGTCAAAACTTTGTGTAGCTTGAAATAATTGATCAAAACACTCAGCTTAAAATTATGTTGTTGTCAGGCGTACTACAAAACATGTACGTAGTGATCATCGTACAAAAAGTGTACTACAGTATTATTATAATTAAGACTACGTAGTAGTACAATAATAGCGTTTTTAATAGTAGTTCAGTATTAATGCAGTAGTACGATACATTCAGAATACTACGGAGTAGTTGTTTAAAAATAAATTGGTTCGTACAAAAATGTACGCAGCAGTATCGAAGAAGTCATTTCGTAATCCAAAGTTTTATTATGTATGATTGATGCGATATATTGAGCTATGCTAGTCAGTTTAGAGGGCGCTGTGAGTCTGGCTGTTGTCCTTCGAAAGCACAAGAGATTCCGATGGGCTTTCGTCCGCAACCTTCATATACCTCATGGCCGCCTTCTTCCTTTTCGCGGCGCGGGTAGTCGACACGTAGATAGAAATGGTCACCAGCCCGACGACGACAGAGGATACCGTAATCGATGCCCACAGAGGTGGGCCATAGGTTGTGCTGCCTGAGGACGTGGCCCCCGAAATGGCAATCGTGCAGCGCGGCCCTCCCCAAGATTTGTACAGACACTCACAGCGCTGATTGACGCACTTACCGGTTTTCACGGACGTCCTGCCCATCGTGCCGCCGATAGTGCAGTCGTCGTGTGTCTTACAGAACGCCTTGCCAGTCACCTCTTCCCACTTATTGTCGTTGTCTTCGTATTCGTCCAGGTGGGCATCGATCCATTGCTTCGTCGGGTGCGTCTTGGGATCACAGCCAACGTACATGTAGTTGTCCGCGTCCAGGTCGTCTGCCAAGTCCTGATACAGACGGATGTAGTCGATCTTCATGTACATCGGGAACGAGTCGCAAATCTTGTTGACAACCGGGTCAGTGCCATTACCGCGGCATGCCTTGCCCGGGTTCGGAGGGGTAGCGCCCCACGAACTCGACAGCGCCACATTGGCGATGATGTACATTGGTTCCTCCAGCATGATCTTCGACGGGTTCGTCTTATTCGCGTTCTGCGGTACGTTCGTGATAGACGCGGATGGAACCTCGAACAATGGACTGCCCTCTAGCATCCACCGCACATATCCGTTCTTACCCGTGACCCACTCCACTTGATACACCAAGTAGTCTGTGTACGCACCGAGTTGGACGGGCCAGTTGGACGAGATAGCGTCCATTTGGTAGTTGAACGGGCTCATCGCGTACGACTTCGACGTCGTAGTCTCGTTTCGAGGGCTGGCACACTTGGAGTAAGTGTTGTCAGGGTCACACAGGTAAGAACCAGTGTACACGTTGAATAGAGGGTAGCACGTTCCGTTTGAGTTGATACCCCAGTGATCGTCCCCAACGCCGTCGATCAAACCAATGTCCGCGTTGACGTCGTTAGAGGCCGGACAGGTGTCCGCGGAGCAGGTATTGTTGACGATTCCGGCTTTTAGAGACGCTGCGATTGTCTTGTAGCTCTGCTTCTTGTCACCGGCCGATTTGCACATGTTGTTGGCAGCGTATCGGAGACCTTGGTACCAAGATTTGTGGCCGCGTTCTTTCTTGTAGTAGGCGGTTGGGACGTCGATGTAGTTTGCACCGGGGGTCATACAGCTAGCGGTGTAGATGCAACCGTAGTAGTCTCCAGTTGAGTAGTTGAGCGAAAAGATACGATATTCATCGGGCATACCAGGGCCAAGTTGCAGCGACGACGAGATCAGGGATGCGCTACCCTCCAGTACGTCAATTTCAGGCGCGCCACGGCCTTGATTCGGGTTCAATCCGTAGCCCGGATTGTCGTCACAAGCACTAATACGTTGGTTGCTGGGATCGAACAGATCGGGCTCACACGCATCGTATGAGAACGGCCACATGCGGTTTGTAGACCCGGAGAAAATAGCACGACCGAGGTTCCCCATCATCCATATACCGGGCCATGTCGGGTAGTATTTACCTGTTTGGACCTTCGCATTCTTTCCCAGTTTCAAGTCCGGGTTACCCGATGCCTTTGACACAGCTCCAGGTAGTTGAGTACGCACCTCGAGCATTCCACCTTGGTAACAGAACTTGTTCCAGGACTGCACCATGGCTGAACGGTAGAAGAAGTAGGCGTCCACGTATCCTGGAGGATGGATGTACATGTTGTACACGTTGATTACATTCAACTCGTCGATCGATTTGATGTAGAAGTAGCACGTTCCGTCGTCGTCACACTGGGTTGAAGTCATGTTGTGCGAGTACAGCTCCATTGCACCGTTGACACCGTCGGGTTTCTCGACGGACGTCCACATGTGATCATCTCCAGGACGAAAGCTGCGGTTGACGACGTTGAACTCGTCGCTCATGACGAGATCCCATTTCCGGCCGCGTGAGCTGATGTACACGTGATCACGTTCGGGTGTGTCCGGATCGACCCAGATCTTGATGCCCGACTTGGTCGGGTATGTATTGTTCTTCGCCGCTGTGGCTACTGTCACCATAATAGTTACGACCCATGCTGAAAACCGCTGAAGTTGCATTGCAATTTCTTTGATGGAGGAGCTCGTAGTCACGTGCAGCAGAGTCCAGGCCGCAGTTTGCCGAGTGAAGCCAGTAGGATCAAACAAACGACAGAGTTACAGGAGAGTTTAGAAAGGCTCTCGTTGCTCTCATTTGAGAAGGTATGTGCCAAAAAGCTTGTTTGTTCCTCCAGCCACTCGTTCCCTGCGTAATCCATAGCGACAAGCCGAGCTTGCCGGAGGATGCTCCGTTGAATCCGCACCTAGAAAACCACCTGTGCAGGTGCTTGGGACAGACGGGAACGTCCATCGCGGTGCTGGTTCTTGAAAGCAAAGCGCGTTCCGTTGCCTGGGATTGGCGCAATGCACTTTTTGGGTACATGTAAAACGACAAAGATTCAGGCTGCCCCAACCAATTCTACATAATATTTTTTGCAACTAAATGTCAACGAAAGCCGCCAGTGGAGTCTGGTTTGTTGCTTGCAATATGACTCGAAGAACCCGTGTGTACATCACTAAAGACTCTTATTTATTGTTTTCGAAGTAATGATTGTAATCATCTGAATACCTGTTTGAAAATACCAATCGCCATATGTCGTCAGCTATGAGTCAGACTGTATTTTTCTTAAAAGGGTTTGGCGGCCCAACTCAGTGATAACTAACTAAGCAATCTTGACGAGAACATTCCTGCATTACGAGGCCAACCAGCACAATGACTATCAGCGTGTCAAAATACTTCTCATTAAACCACAGTTTGCATAAGCGGCTCGCCTCTTTGATGGAGTCAAAACAATTAATGATTCTCGGGGCATATAACAATGTATTTGTTAATCTCCCGATACATGTACCCAACGAATGAATTGTCATTGCTCTCGTTTTGGTGTTGCTTGGATCGTACCGTTCGCTAGTAGTAGTTCCCAGTCTCGTCACCGGACTCTAGTACAATTATATACTTCGAAGTATATTAGGCCAATCTTTGGTGGCATACTTTGGTCGTGTTTAAGCTTGAGTTTTTTTAATGCATGTATAATAATGATAAAAAGTTATGTCACTCTCAGTATACTGAAAGGCACAATGCACTTCATTATGCAGTTGATGTCATAAATCCGCAGCAAAACGACCAACCGCGCGACGCCTTCTAGCTCAACAAAAATGCCGATAATAATAATAATCCTGGCAATGCAAACGGCATGTTTACACCACGCCATGTACGTAGGTGTCCTTAGCTTACGTGCCTGTATGATGACGACCGTAAGATCAATGTCATTCTTATCGAAAGCGGTGGGAGGTATAATAGCATGAATTACGTTTACAGTCTACTGACAGCCTTACACCGCGTATGTCGGACTACTTCTTGATTCGAGTAAAGCTGCAGGACGACACGTCTGTAGACTTCGGAAATACCAGTCCACGGGATTCGGAGTCCGGAATTTATTTGTCTTTTGTATTAATTTTTGTATGGCTGCCATACAGGAATCGGTGAACGGCTTTGCCAATCTACAACTGCATGACATGTAGAACATGTTGGCCCGGTCGCCCACTCGCAGATCCATGTCTAGATTTGTATCGTTGCGTTGTGTAGTCATCAACGAAAGCGATCGCTTTGAGCCACCGTATTGCACCTTTGGTTGGGATTACACACCAAGCCACACGACAAGGCACGAAAACCATAGAGAGCTGATATCGTCTCATAATTCACAGGCACAGCATCGAAAAAGCCACCCTTCCCGTCGGCCGAGAATGTTTAGATGTACCTATCGTGACTTATCAAAAGCCCGTTCTCAAGATTAGGACATGCTTGCAGATCTCGATTTGTCTCCGCCGTCAACAATCAGGTCTCCTGAGACGCGAGCAGGACAACGAGGTACAGACTGTACTGTGGTACAGTAAACGCCTGGGGGCAGGACACCAGCCTATCCACGTTCTGAGCAGCTCCGCCGCAAATTGTGCAGCTCAAAAGCAAATGAATCACAGTAGCAAACATCTATTACATATTAACTTCACACGATTTTAGGTGGCGAAGCATCAGGAATAAGAGGCCCCGCCGCTGCACTAACATGGTTGAAAAGATAGACTGGTAATCGTGTACGATTACGCTGCTTTGCATTTATGCAGATTTCGTTCCTGTCAGGAAGGAAGTTCCTGTGCCAGGAGCATTGGTGAATTACCAACATGTACTTGTACCTGTACGCAGCTTCGTCCTGCAACAGGATCGCATTGCAGCTCTTTCCGGCAGATAGACGCTCTTGTTTGCCGTTTTGCCATGAAGTTTTTGTTTCTTGTCGTTCCAAGCAAAATGCGTCAACCCCACGTGTTTGCCAAGCCTCAACGAGTGCCGCCTGCCATGTCTCTCCGTATGTCCCGTCAGCCACGGGCTCCGATAAACAAAACATGGGCTTGGACCAAGCCTTGGCACCTCAAGTCGGATCGAACGGAGACGAGAAAACGGCCCGGATTACGCGGGAACTCGTACGAACGAGTGGCTTTTACAGGCAACAGAAGGAGGAGGAGCTGTGGCACAGCCCGGAGAAAACGCTAGCCGGGGAGCTTTCGGTTTTCGCGGCGTCCGTCCAATTCGACAGGCGTCTCACTCGGCAAATTGCCGCTCCAAGTTCACAAGTTCATCCATCCACTGGACGCGCTAGACTTCTCATTCTAGCCCCAGAGACTACAATGCGGCATCGACAATACGCAACATTAGCTACGGTCGTGGTTTGGGTGGTCACGCTAGCATTCGTCACGGCAGCTAAGAACGATACGACGGCAGGTACAACGTACCCGACCAAGTCTGGCATCAAAATCTGGGTCGACCCTGCAACGCCCGATGACCGACAAACGTACACCAGTTCACGTGGCAGAAAATGGGACCTGGTCATGAGCGACGAGTTCAACACTCCCAACCGTAGCTTCCGACCTGGTGACGACCATATCTGGACGTCGCTGGAGAAACCCGATGGTGTCAACGGTGCACTCGAGTTGTATTCACATAACATGACCTCAACGAAGTGTGACGACGACGGAACATGCTACTTCTACATTAAGGCTGTCGACGAATTGAACGTGATTCATGTGTACAACATGTACACGCACCCTCCGGGATACGTCGATGCTTACTTCTTCTACCGTGCAGCAATGGTCCAGTCTTGGAACAAATTCTGCTACCAAGGTGGCATGATCGAAACGCGCGTACAGCTCCCGGGTGTCGTCACTCCCGAGTCTGGTAATCCCGACCTTGCCAAGGGGAAGAACTCGAAGGTTGAGGCGACGAAATTCTACCCGACCTGGCCCGGTATCTGGATGATGGGGAACCTCGGTCGTGCCATTTTCTCGGCCTCAACGAACCGCATGTGGCCGTTCTCATACGATAAGTGTGAGCCTGATCTGTTTGACCCGAGTTACCAACGTATCAGTGCGTGTAATGACAACCCCGGCTACGGATTGAACCCGAACCAAGGCCGTGGCGCTCCTGAGATTGACGTGCTGGAAGGCGGTGCTACTCTTGTGTCTTCGTCGCTTCAAATTGGACCTGGTATGCCGGATGAATACCGTATCATCGGTGTTAACTACTCATCGGGAGACAGTTCGTCCTGTATCTACGCCGGTACTTGTATGAGTCCCGGCGCGAACTACGTTGACGTCCCGACAGCGTACTACAAGAAGGAACGCGGACACAAGTCATGGTACCAGGGTCTGCGTTACTCAGCCAACAACTACTGCCAGCAGGACGCCGACGCGAAGCAATCGTACAGCACAATTGCTGCGTCCGTGAAATCTGGCATCACTGAGAACTCATGCTCGGTGGATATTTGCCCTGCCTCGAACGATGTCAACGGCGATTTGAGCTTGATTGACAGCAAGGGCGAGGATCACTGGGGTATCAACACAAACGGTACCTGTTTCCCGCTGTTCAACGTGTACACCGGTGCCTACTTGTGTGACCCCGACAACACATTTTACAAGTGTGCGAAGCCACGAAATGAATCTACTACGCCCAAGTCGAACGCCATGAGCCAATTCAACTATCAGATGGACGCCATCTCGGCCAATTGGCCAGTGCACCTCGGCGCGTACATGGACTTTGTGACGTACCAGCTCGAGTGGGTCACCGGTAAGAACGGCTACGTGCGATGGAACCTCATGGGTAGCCCGCTGTTTGAAGTGCCGTCCAAGTCTATCTGGGATATCCCACAGAACTCGAACAAGACTAATCCGACCAAGGCGATGCTGGAGGAACCGATGTACCTTATCTTCAACGTCGCGTTGTCGAGTTCGTGGGGTGCCACGCCTCCCAACCCGGGCAAGGCATGCCGCGGTGACGGCTCTGATAAAGTGGCTAATAAGATCTGTGACGCCTTCCCGTTGTACCTGAAGATCGACTACATCCGTCTGTACCAGGACTTGGCAGACGACCTGGAAGAAGACAACTACATGCACGTTGGCTGTGATCCAGATACTCACCCTACCAAGAAGTGGATCGACGCTCATATCGATGAGTACGAGGATGACGACAATAAACACAAAGTGGTTGCTGGCAAGGCGTTCTGTACCGTGAATGATGACTGCACGATTGGAGGCAGCTTGGGTAAGACACTGCTAAAGACTGGCAAGTGTGTGAAGGGACGATGCCAGTGCACGTACTCGTCGTCGTGGGGCGGTCCGCGCTGTACGACGGCCGTCTCGGGATCCTCCTCGACCACTGTTGCCAGCAAGTCCGTCAGTACCAACTCGTACGGCCCCCCGTTCGGCATGTCGATTGGTATCGCAGCCATCATCGTGTTCCTGAGTTTCGTGTCCGTCATGTGGTCGTCCATGAAAGAGAAGAAGGCAGCAGCTCTGCTTAAAAAGCAGGGTAAGATTGCTGCAGACCTGAGCTACCGCGGCAACGAAGCACAGGTCAAATTTGACGCCGAGCGGCAATCGCACGGCAATGGAAGCGATCCTCGTCAGAGACCGAGGGACAACTACAGCCAAAATTTCGTCTAACTCTCGAATGAATTACCTAACTATCAACTAAATCAAGTGACTTCAAGAACTGCTATAGAGCAGCGTTACCAAGCGTGAGTCCTGCTTGGACATGACTCATTTGTGGCAAATACCATTGAAAGTAGTGACTACAGAATATGACGACCGACCATTTCAGACAACGGCTTTGTCATGCAGCGGTCACTTGAAGCGAACGACATTCCGACGTTCATCTACTTCGAAGTAGTTAACGTTGCTCGAGCAGACGGACGACACGAACAAAGTTCTATGGATAAAGTGGCAATTAACAAAGCAATATCAAGAGTTGACGCCACGTTTCGAAAGGGAACCATTGTGAGGAAGCGCGGGTAGACCTGGGCACAGTTGGCAAACTTCGATTCAACATTGCGCTGCTACGAGGTATTACTGGAACGTGCAAGGCACGGAAGCACAAGAAGCACGACGCGCAAAGGAAGGAATCCGAAGCGTAAGTCGGTGAGGACGATTTGTGTTGTCCTGTTCACACCGTGCAGTATTGGGCGAGGAGAGGCGGGACTTGGTATTTTGAAGTTGGATAAGCGAACACCACACAACTGGAGGAACATTTCAACTAGCGTTGCTCCTGCTGAGCTGGTGCAAGTTTGGCCGAGCTTACCGCACTCACCTGGGTTAGGACAGGTGTGCTTTCACCAGTTCCTCCCTCACTAACGTGTTGCTTTGCTTCTGAAGCGCAGCGGCATTTGGGGACGAACAAATCGCAGATTTGATCATGGCCATCGCCAAAGCCTTCCTGATAATCATCCGGGGGCAGCGACAGGCAACGGATTACGAACAGTACTGGGCTCCTCAACTCGGATAGTCTCTGGTCATCAGACTGGTGGGTGCTTTGGTGGCCCACAGTCGAAGTGGGAAGACCCGAAGGCAGCGATTCCGTCCTCGCCTCGGCTGTTCCACTCGATCAGACTCGACGGAAGATTGCACATGTATCGACATGTCGTGTGCAATTCAAACCACTCGGTTACAGTATGTCGAGCATAGCCAGCGGCTAATGGAGTCCTCTGAGGACAGATGCCCACCTGAGCAGGCCTGCAAAGTCCAAGGTTTTTGCCCTGCTCAGGATGAGTCGGTACAGTTCAGCCCAACTGGTTCTCCACATAAGAAAGTAGCGGATAAACCTCACAGGTAGACTCAATGTTTCAGCGGCTTATGCTATGGGGTCTCGCCGTTGCTTTTGTGGTCACAGCAACGTCGGTCTCAGCTAAGAATGCAACGACAGCAAGCACGACGTTCCCCACCAAGTCGGGCATCCGAACGTGGGTCGATCCCGAGACGCCTGATGACCGTCAGACGTACAAGAGTTCGCGTGGACGGACGTGGGACTTGGTCATGAGCGACGAGTTCAACACTCCCAACCGTAGCTTTCGACCGGGTGATGACCACATTTGGACGTCTCTAGAGAAACCCGATGGTGTCAACGGTGCGCTCGAGTTGTATTCACATAACATGACGTCTACAATGTGCGACGACGACGGAACATGTTACTTCTACATTAAGGCTGTCGACGAATTGAACGTGATTCATGTGTACAACATGTACACGCACCCTCCAGGCTACGTGGACGCCTACTTCTTCTACCGAGCAGCGATGGTCCAGTCCTGGAACAAATTCTGCTTCCAAGGTGGCATGCTCGAGGTGCGTGCACAGCTTCCAGGAGCTGTTTCTGAGGCGTCCGGAAACCCGGACCTGGCATTAGGCAAAAACGGCAAGGTGAAGACGACCAAGTACTACCCGACGTGGCCCGGTATCTGGATGATGGGGAACCTTGGTCGAGCTATCTTTTCAGCGTCGACCAACCGAATGTGGCCGTTTTCCTACGATCGATGCGAGCCGGACGTTTTCAACCCAGACAACCAGCGCATCAGTGCGTGCGATGATAACCCGGGATACGGTCTCAATCCGAATCAAGGTCGTGGTGCGCCTGAGATCGATCTGCTCGAAGGAGGTGGTCTTGCAGTATCGTCTTCACTACAAATTGCCCCTGGTATGCCGGATGATTACCGTTTGTTCCCTGTGGACACGTCTACTGGAGACAACTTGTACTGCGTTTACGGTTATAGCTGCACCACACCAGGTGCCAATTACATTGACGTCCCGACTGCATTCTACAAGAAGGAACGTGGTCACAAATCGTGGTATCAAGGACTTCGCTATGCTTCGAACAACTTTTGTCAGCAAGATGCCGATGCCAAGCAGAACTACGCCTCGGTGGCTGCGTCTCTCAAAAAGGGGATTACTGAAAACTCTTGTACAGCAGCTACCTGTCCAGCTTCGGGAGATGTGAACGCCGACATCGGGTTGATCGACGACAAGGGCGAGAACCACTGGGGGATCAACACGAACGGCACGTGTTATCCGCTTGTCAATTCCTATATGGGTGCGTACTTGTGCGACCCCGACAACACGTTCTCCAAGTGTGCCCAGCCTCGTAACGAGAGCACGCCCAAGTCGAACGCCATGAGTTCGTTCAACTATCAAATGGATGCTATTTCATCGAATTGGCCCGTACACCTCGGTGCGTACACTGACTACGTTGAATACCAGATCGAGTGGGTGACCGGTAAAAACGGCTACGTACGTTGGATGCTCCAGGGCAGTCCGCTGTTCGAAGTCACGACGGACGCGTTCTCCAATGTACCACAGAACTCGAACAAGACCAATCCACAGAAGGTGATGCTGGAAGAGCCTATGTCCCTTATTCTCAATGTCGCGCTGTCAAGTTCGTGGGGTGCTACACCCCCGAATGCCGGCAAAGAATGCCGCGGTGACGGCACCGACGAAGAGACGAACCGGATCTGTGACTCGTTCCCAATGTACCTTAAGATCGACTACATGCGACTGTACCAGGACTTGGGTGATGACCTTGACAAAGACAACTACATGCAAGTCGGTTGTGATCCTAAGAGCCACCCGACCAAGCAGTGGATAGATGCACATATCGACGAGTATGAAGACGACGACAATCGCCACAAAGACGTGGCCGGGAAGGCATTCTGCACTGTCGACGATGACTGTACGATTGGTGGGAATCTCGGTAAAACCGCCTTGAAGACGGGCAAGTGTGTCAAGAGGAGATGTCAGTGCACCTACGCGTCGTCGTGGGGAGGACCGCGATGTACAACGGCCATCTCGAGCTCTACAAGCTCAAGCTCGAGTTCTGTGTCCAAGAGCTCCTATGGTCCTCCCATGGGACTCTCGATCGGCTTGGCGGCTGTTATTATGTTCTTGTCTTTGATCTCTGTGTATTGGTCGATTTTCATTGTGGTGAAACCCAAGACCGAGAAGAAGGTTGAAAACAGTGGCGACAACCGGGTGAAGACAACCTACATCAGCGAACAAGGTCAGCGGCGGCCAACAGATAACTACAGCCAAAACTTCGTCTAAGCACTGGTAACGTTGAATTGAACAAGCTATGACAATTCTTTCAGTTATCTAAACGAAATTCTGACGATAATTGTCTTTCGACAGAGCAGCGAGATGTGAGCCGCGATTGCTGCTCGTTTCGCTGGTCGGGGCTGTCGACACGGGAGCAGCAACTTTACGCTCTGCCTCCAAGGCTGCCATTACGGCTTTGGTTTTCTTCGCGGTAGTGACGGACCCCACGTGAACCATGGCCATTGTCATCAATATAATCACACTAGCGACGGCAATTGCGGCCTCAATCGGCGGACCGAACGTCCTGCTCATCAAACCAGCTGAACTCGACCCGGAGACGGCCGTAGTGCAGCGAGGACCACCCCACGAATGGTACAAACATTCACAGCGTTGCTTAACACATTTGCCCGTCTTTAAAGCTGTTCTGGAAAGGGTACCGCCGATGGTACAGTCGTCACTAGTCTTGCAAAACGCCTTGCCTGCAACCTCCTCCCACTTGTTGTCGTCGTCTTCGTATTCGTCGATATGCGCATCAATCCACTCCTTCGTCGGGTGACTGGCCGGGTCACAACCAACTTGCATGTAGTTGTCCGGTTCGAGGTCATCTCCAAGATCCTGGTAGAGTCGAATGTAGTCGATGGGAAAGAGTCACAAATGACGTTCGTCGTGGGGTCTTTGCCGTCGCCGCGACATTCCTGGCCCGGGTTTGGAGGTGTCGTACCCCATGAACTCGACAAAGCCACGTTGAAAATCACATACAAGGGCTCCTCAATCATGATCTTCTTCGGGTTGGTCTTGTTCGCGTTCTGCGGCACGTTGACGACCGATTCAGTCGTGACTTCAAAGAGAGGCTCTCCATGTAGCAACCATCGAACGTAGCCATTCTCACCGGTTACCCACTCCACTTGGTAGTCATAGAAACCTGTATACGCACCGAAATGGATCGGCCAATTGGAGGAGATAGCGTCCATCTGATAGTTAAACGAACTCATGGCATTCGACTTGGGCGTCGTGCTCTCGTTACGAGGACTTGCGCACTTGGAGAACGTGTTGTCCGGGTCACACAAGTACGAGCCCATGTAGGAATTCATGAGTGGATAGCACGTGCCGTTAGAGTTAATACCCCAGTGGTTCTTTCCTCCATCGATCACGCTTAAGTCAGCGTTGACATCTCCAGATGCTGGACAAGTGTCGACTGAGCACGTGTTCTCCGTAATGCCTTTCTTAACCGACGCAGCGACCGTGTCATAGTCTTGTTTTTCCTCTGCATTCTGGTCACAGTAATTATTCGCAGCATAGCGAAGACCTTGATACCACGACTTGTGGCCACGTTCTTGCTGGTAGTATGATGTCGGGACGTCAATGTAGTTGGCACCAGGTGTCAAACAGTTGTAGCTGTACAAACAGTAGCTGAAGTCACCAGTTGACGTGTCAACGGGAAAGAGACGATAGTCGTCCGGCATACCTGGGGCGATCTGTAGAGAAGACGAGATGGCTAAACCACCACCTTCCAGAACATCGATCTCCGGTGCACCGCGACCTTGGTTCGGGTTGAGACCGTATCCTGGATTGTCGTCGCAGGCGCTGATACGTTGGAAAGTTGGATCAAAGACGTCGGCGTCGCATTCGTTGTACGAATAGGGCCACATTCGGTTGGTCGATGCCGAGAAAATGGCGCGTCCAAGGTTACCCAGCATCCAAATACCGGGCCATGTCGGGTAATACTTAGTGTTTTGGACTTTGCCGTTCTCTCCTAGAGCGACATCGGGGTTCCCTGACTCCGGATCAGTCACCCCGGGTAGTTGAGCTCGTACTTCCAACATACCGCCTTGGTAACAGAATTTATTCCACGACTGTACCATTGCACCACGATACCAGAAGTAGACATCTTGGAAGCTCGGGGGATGCGTGTACATGTTGTAGACATGGATGACGTTTACTTCGTCGATGGTCTCAATGTAGAAGTAGCAGGTGCCGTCGTCGTCGCATTTAGTCGAAGTCATGTTATGGGAGTAAAGCTCGAGTGCGCCGTTGACACCGTCGGGTTTCTCGAGAGAAGTCCACATGTGATCGTCACCGGGTCGGAAACTGCGGTTAGCCACATTGAACTCGTCGCTCATGACGAGATCCCATCGCCGACCGCGAGAGCTGGTGTACACGTATTTGTCCTTGGGTGTGTCGGGGTCGACCCAAGGTAGGAGACCCGACTTGGTGGGGTACGTCAAGGTGTTGTTCTCGGCCGTAACGAATACAAGCGAGGCTATCCACCAGAGTGCCAAGACTGACACTGTAACGTAGTGGACGTGTTGCATTCGGGATTAAACTGAAGCTGATTTATCTGGGCTTTCGAGTGAGAGGTAGAGAATTCAGGAATGACCCAACAATCGATCTCGACAGTTTTCGGTGTTAAACGCGACTTCTGTTCAATTCAAACTGCTGTTCTCTTTGCGTGCTTGGAGTTTATGCTCGACATGCCAACGGTGAGCTTGTCATCAACAGAAAAGTGAGTCCCCATCTTTAAACAACTTGGAGTTTGTAGGGAAGCGAGATACTTTGTTTCGAGATGGATTTTTTTCGCGGATTGAGCCAGCTGATTACACTCATTGATGACGTTTCGATTAAAAGTTATTAATTGTCGGGTCTGCTGTATGACACACATTGTTGCATTGTTTGGCTGGAAATAGTCGTACGCTCGGGCGATTTGAGTTTTGGCTCGATCAGCTGAAGTGAGCAGATTTTAACGCGGGTGACAGTGGCGTAGGCGGATTATCCTTCCCTGAACGGACTACATCATTAGATGAACCACTTGCAATCACGATACGGACGTGACCTTTATGTTTTTTTAACATGGACTTACTTTCTTTGTCTACAAAAGCCTTATATACATCTAGGCGCGAACAATGTCTTTAGTAAACTGTTTTTTTTTTTTACTGGAAAGCCTGCAATATATTTTATATATGTTCTAATATGGACGCGATGTCAACATCTTGTGTGTTATACTCATGGCTTCAATGGGGTTCTTTGGCATACCCCGAGAAAAGTAAAATCCATGTTGTGTTCCCAGCACTTCAAAACAAACCGCGAAGCCAAAATGGTCTGCTACACTACCAACCGTTTGATGCCGACGCATACCCGCTTCAGCCAGAGAAATGGAATGTAAGTCGAAGTATGGTCGGAATTTATCCGGCTAACTACTTCGAAGTATGCATCTGCTAGAAATAGTGCGTTCTATTTTCTTTCCTTTTTTTTTTTTTTATAGAATGCAGTCCTTTATACCTTCGTGCAACATAATATTTTCGTACCTAAACAAGACATCCAAGTACGTTTATCCGCTTCAAGTCAAGCACCAAGCACCAAGATGGCCGACTCAGTAGGACCGTCCTCCATCCCTCCGTCCATCGACCCCAGCGTCTTCGCCGCGTTGCCGCTTGACATCCAAGAGGAGCTCCTCTCCCTACACAACACCAGCGATGCCACTGCGCCATTAACGCGCTCCTTCTCCGGTCCAGACGAGGTTCAGGACGCCTGGACCTGTCGCGTCTGCACGTTCCTCAACCACCCGGAGCTCGCGGAGTGCGAAATGTGCGGTACCCTATGCATAGCTCTGGAATCCGGTCTTGATGGTCTACAGGACGCAGGATCTCCAGGATCACAGTCAGAGTCGAGACTAGGACGTACACTACGCAAACTCCGCGTGCCCCCTACACCCGCCACCGTCAGCTTCTCGCAGAAGAGAGAACCTACCGCTGAAGATCTTCTAGTGGCAGCTACAAGCAAGTTTCAATCCGTTAAAGAATCGTGGAAAGGACGACGATCTAGGACCAATTCTACAGTGCAGGACAAGAACGGTCCTGCAGGATTTCCGTCGCTGCAGTCCATGAGAGAACTCACAGAGCTGCAGAAAGATCTGACACAGAAAGTTTCAGCAGGAGACGAGTGGTTTGAGGCCGCTTTGGAGAGATTGTGGAGAGCTGTGGGCGGCAGGACGCAGGACGAGAAATATGACAGACAAGACGTGGACTGGGTGAAGCTGGGGTTCCAGAATGCCAGTCCCGAGACGGACTTTAGAGGAGGAGGCGTGCTGGCTATGAAGTGTCTGTTGTACGCATTTGAAGCGCATCCGATGGAGATGAGGGCGATTCATTACGAGCAGATGCCGGACTCGCAGGACGGGAAACACAAGAAGAGATGGTACCCGGTCTGTGTTGCTGGTATCAACTTGACGTGTTTGTTGGCGGGGTTATTGCAACTTGGAGACGGGAGATTTGCAGACAAGAAGGAGACATTCTGGCAGCTTTTTGAAGAGCCTGCTGCGTTCTATGAACTCTTCTTCTTGGGTGAGTGCAATGCAATGAAACGTGGTAAAAATGCGCTAAGTTTTGACGTTGTGATTAGCTTTTATGAAGATGGACGCGATCTGGCATCGCCTTAACGCGACGTATATGGAGTTTGGAGGTGCGGAGCGATGATATAAATTCTATTAGGGTGTTACTGATATCGATTGTGTTGTATGTAGTGGTGCTCAAGGTGACGCGCAAGTCAGTCGTTTTTATGCTGGAGCAGGCTCCAGCCACGTTGATGGATTTGCGTGAAGCGAGCGATCAAGCGTTTTTGGACCGGTTTGTCGTAAGTCTCTCGACCCGTTCTCTCGCTGATTGGGAAGGTGGTGAATGTCCCGATCCGAACAATTCGCTGGAGACGGAAGACGCTCTAGTGATAGCAAAGACGCGTGCCGCTCCCAAATCGGCACCTACCACCACAGGCAACGCGTTTTGGCCTCTACGTTAAGATTCGTTTGCTAACACGAGCTTGATATCTATTAAGCTCTTGCGTTTTGTCAGCTTTTTGTGTATATTTACAGGACAAGTCACCACCCAACTGTATTTTTGGAGATTCGTGCCGAAATTGGGCATTTACAATATGACATCGAGTGTAGCTCGAGGAGGAGGACCAACGAGCGAACATGTTGCTCATACTGGAAGTGAATCAGTTATTAGAGAAGGCTGCGCAGTTCAAACATTGGAGCCTAGATGGTCATGGATCGACAGAGCCATAGCTGTTATTAGGAGGGGTCGACAGCAAGGTGTAACCAAGTTTCGATGTAGAGAGACCAGTGCGGTGGCTGCAGTTATCGGACGTTGTGTGCTGGCTCCGCTACTATTGGTCTTCATTTTCGGAGCTACAGGCTACTTGTCAACCGCCAAGTTCTTTATCGGACCGGAAGACAGCTACTTCGCCTACAGTCAGCTGGACTCAGTCATGCATGGAGGGTGTTCTGGATGCGTCTGCTCCTGTCGAAAGGTGCTCATTCAGCTCAGCGCCTTTGGATCTGACGCTATAATGAGCAAACCGGCGTATGAAGACCTACAAGCCATGGCTACTGAGGCTGAGGCGGCTGGAGATTACAGTCGACTCACACCTGAAGCTCTTGCGCTTGCCGATCAACTAGATGCTAACGGAGCTGTGTGCTCGACGGGAATGAATGACTGGGGCACGCCGAATATTGTTCTGTCGGACGAACCAGAAGGAGTATTGAAGGTTATCACCACGCTCAGACTCTCTGTGTCGCCGCAGATGCTACGCGAACTACAAGTGGCTGTCGAACGGAAAGAAAAGTGTATTTCGCGCTGGAATATCGGTATCCTGCTACGACTTTTTAAGTTCCAGAACGTCAAGAACAGCCTCGACTATTCGTCTGTGCCTGTAGCAGACATCAACACGTTCCCGCACTACACAGACTGCCGTCCTGATATTCCAAATGAAGGGATTGTCGGAGAAAAACTTGCGATGGAAACCAATGGAGAAGACGTGCTGGTTGTCGTTCCAGATATCCTTAAACTGTTCCCGTACCAGTTTTCAACTAGTTTACCCAAGATTTCCAGGTATATCCCCGCCAAGGACACAATTTATGGTGCCAATAATGTCACGCAGCCGTTGTTCAAGGGATACTATGCTGGATGCAGAGTTCGCGTCGTGAATGTGACAGGAGTGTATGTGGAAGACACTTGCACTCTATTGAAGCACTGGCGATCGTATGGACTGATGTTACAGACCCCGGATGATCTACCGGTGTGCTCTACTGGCGATGTGTGCATCCACAACCAGTATAACTCGCAATGGGAGTACACGAACGACGTAAACCCGACGGATTCTACGCGTCTGGACCAATTCCTTAGTGTTTTCCGTAGTCGATACGCTGATACCGTGGACTTGAGTGTTTTACCAGGTGTGGTTGTGATACAGATCCTCTTTATGGGGATCGTAAGTCTGTACCAAGTGATGTCGCACCATCGCTCAGTGCTGTTGACTCAAATATGGGCATATCGATGCCAGAACGGCAGGATGCAGCCTATTTACCTCGCACAGATCACATACCACCTCGCGTTTAACTCGAATTTGTACTATCTTGGACTCTCCACTGGAACACTATCCATGGCTTCAGTACTGAATCTAACGTTAAGTTTCTTTGCATTTAACTATTCTTTTATCAATCTCATCCGAGCTCGCTCAGGTGACCAAGTATTGGACCGACATTTTCGTATTCCATGGGAAATTTTACAGCTAACCAGCATGATATGCACGTTCGCAGTGCTTTCGTCTCTTCGACTTACATCGCTAGCGTTTATTGGAGAATTTAATGGCGAACTCTTGCGTCGGACTTCAGCTCGAGGTGCAAGATACTGTGGACTCAAAGACTCATGCTACGTGTTCACAGTGAATCTTGTGTTCGTGGTCGCTGGGATAAGTTTTGCCATGGGTTTCGTAGCGAGCATAGGAGGTAGGCGGGAGAAACAAGCTAGGGGGACGAGTACATCTCCACGACCGTCGTCCTGGCTTCGGGTTTTCAGTAGCAAGAAGGTGGGCCCAACCGTCCTGAATTTGCAACAGCAGAAGCTCACGACGTTCGAGGAAAACTGTCTTGGTGGCCAATTTATCAGATTGTTCTACGACTGCGAAGATTTTGCTTATACTACGTTCCGAGGCAAGCGCTGCACTTCAGTGGAGGCAATATTGCTTACTGGGTATCTGTTCTATGGTCAGCACTTGTATCAGGCAACATCCGTCTTGATGCTGCTTGTGGCGCGAGTCTTACCCAGGAAAGTCATTCGTACTTTTAACGTCCTTTTGATTCGGTGGCGGATTGATCCAAACGAAGGCGCACTCTCCCATGCGTTGTCTTGTACGTGGTACAATGCGAGCGCAGAGCGATTCAAAATTTCGGAGGCCATACCTGTAGCTTAATCATTATTGCAGATCAAAACTTTCGCAGTTAATCAAAGTTTCGTAGTAAACGCGTGCTTGCACACTCGAGCTGAAGAATAAGACGAAACCGATGTGGAAAAGTTCAAATTAGTATGTAGAGCCCCAAATTACCATAAAGGCTTTGCATCCAAATGAGCTGCCGAGGCGAAAATATCCTTGAAATATTACTACTGTGATCGAATTGCAATACCCATTCCCGGTAGGCTAAAGGCTCCTTCCAGGTTTGTTTGTATTTCATTCTGCGAGCCGGATGATCATGAGGGTATCTACAGCAAACCTGTCATATTTGATATCGAAAGCTGAATCCATCGTGGCGCTAGTCTCGTTCGTGGCTGTCGAAGTTGTCCTTTGAGTTCTCGTTCTGCGGGCGAGGTATTAATATGCACGGTCAGCACTTTTACTCCGTGGTTCCATCCGGTCGAGGTGTCTTCAACGTGCGCTGGTCGAATCGATCAAGGTCTGATGGTCGCAACTTGCGACTCGTAAGTGCCTCATGCAGTACATGTATAGTCGATTACTGGATGAAGTACATCGATGGCACGACGCCGCGGGGGCGTTCCACCGTAGCATCCAAGACAGACTTCGTCGCGCAGAGTCGTCGCCATCTACAACGTAAATGTCTCGAATCTCGTGCGTCCAAATTCTGGACTCCAGAGCACGTGTGCATCAGTATTTTCTGCATTGGCGCAACTCGGACACTTCCCTTCATAGTCATAACGTGCTTTATTTCAAGACAAGAAAAATATTGCTTGCGAAGGATGAAATTTCAATGGTATAACTGTGTAAGTCGCTAGCGAGGCTTTTGGTTTGTTTTGCCGCAGACCACCGCAACAGCTCAATAGAGCTGCTTGCGAAGCTCTGTTTACTTGCCATTTTTACTGGCGTGTTTTGCGAAATAAGTTGTTTTCTAGCGCAAGTCTCCAGAGTCGCTAAAACTAACAGGAGCTTTTGAATGTGTCGAAGAATCCGTTACGTCGGAACGGCTAAGGTTACGCATTTTTAATCAATTAAGAAAAGTGGGACTTAGATTAAAATTCAAGTGGTCGAAGATCGCAGCTGGCCGATTTGCCGTGACGTTTGAAGCAAAGTTTGGAGTGTGGGTGTGGGTGCTGCAGGAGAATTCGACAACCGGCACCATGTTCAGACAGTAAAGCTGCAACACTAGCGCTCAATAGTAGCACCATGTATTCACAACGATTTAGTTGGGAATTTGGCCCACAAAATGCATTACAGTATTCAATGATACATTTGCTCTGCCACCTGCCTTCCTGTCGCGAGATTGTATGCCGCGCTTCTTCTGTTCGAAGCAGTTCGACGAACTTCGATTGGGATTGGCAGTGACAACTGTCAGTCGGTAATCTTTCCTCACAAAATAAAATCCAGCCAGTGTGACTCGCAATTTGAGTTTCAACATCTCGTCTGCCACTCTCGGTTGGTTGGAAACGCCAAGCTGTCCCAAGGTAACCTTGAAGGCTCACTTCGCCCAAACCGTACGGGTACACTTTGGTGTTGACAGCCTTGCCATTTGCAATGTTTGAAAACACTGAGGTCAATCCCGCCTGCCAGAGTTTCAGCTGTTTGGAAAAATGTCGCGTTAAACAGTTGTAGTGCAGATCAGCACTTCCATGCCGCACAGTCCCGAGCCTTCGTCATTCCACAATCCACCCTCTAGGTCACAAGGCGATCGGAGATAACCACTTAGCAGTCTACTGTTCAGTTCCCGATGCAGCTCGCGCGATACGCCATTGTGTGCAGTCTAGCCCTGTGGTGGACAGCCATCGTTGCGGCTACAAATGCCACGACGTACCCAACCAGATCGGGCATCAGAACGTGGGTCGATCCCGATACACCCGAGGACAGATACGTGTACACCAGTTCACGCGGCAGGAGATGGGACCTCGTCATGAGCGACGAGTTCAACGTCCCCAACCGCAGCTTCCGTGCCGGCGACGACCACATGTGGACGTCTCTCGAGAAACCCGACGGTGTCAACGGTGCGCTCGAGCTTTATTCTCACAACATGACCTCCACAAGATGCGATGACGACGGGACCTGCTACTTCTACATCAAGACTGTCGATGAAGTGAACGTCATCCATGTCTACAACATGTACACTCACCCTCCCAGTTTCGAGGATGTCTACTTTTGGTATCGTGGTGCAATGGTGCAGTCCTGGAACAAATTCTGTTACCAGGGTGGGATGCTTGAGGTGCGAGCACAACTACCAGGAGCTGTCACTGCAGAGTCCGGGAACCCCGACCGAGCACTTGGAGCGAGTGGTAAGGTCGCAAACAACAAGTTCTACCCCACATGGCCCGGTATTTGGATGCTGGGTAACCTCGGACGCGCCATTTTCTCGGCGTCGACCAACCGGATGTGGCCGTTCTCCTACAATCGCTGCGACGCCGATGTCTTTGATCCAACTTTCCAACGTATCAGCGCCTGCGACGACAATCCAGGATACGGTCTCAACCCGAACCAAGGTCGCGGTGCACCGGAGATCGATGTACTGGAAGGTGGTGGTTTAGCCATCTCGTCTTCTCTACAGATCGCACCTGGTATGCCTGAAGACTACCGTCTTTTCCCTGTGAACACTTCTACCGGAGACTTCAGCTACTGTTTGTACAGCTACAACTGCTTGACACCTGGTGCCAACTACATCGACGTCCCGACATCATACTACCAGCAAGAGCGTGGCCACAAGTCGTGGTATCAAGGACTTCGATATGGAGCCAATAACTACTGCAAGCAGAATGCAGAGGAGAAGCAGACGTACGAGACGGTTGCTGCCTCTATTAAGAAGGGAATCACAGAGAACACGTGCTCAGTGGACACGTGTCCTGCTTCGGGCGATGTCAACGCTGACCTGAGCTTGGTCGACGGCAAGGGGAAGAACCACTGGGGTATCAACACAAACGGCACGTGTTATCCGCTTATTAACTCGTACATGGGCTCCTACTTGTGTGACCCTGACAACACGTTCTCTAAGTGTGCGAAGCCTCGTAATGAGAGCACGACGCCAAAGTCGAACGCCATGAAGCCTTTCAACTACCAGATGGACGCTATCTCGTCCAATTGGCCCATTCACTTCGGTGCGTACACAGGATATCTGGACTACCAGGTGGAGTGGGTCACCGGTGAGAACGGATATGTACGATGGCAGCTCCATGGTGAGCCACTGTTTGAAGTCACAACCGAATCCATTGTGAGCGTGCCGCAGAACTCGAAGAAGACGAACCCGCAGAAGATCATGATTGAGGAGCCCTTGTACGTGATTTTCAACGTTGCTCTGTCCAGTTCGTGGGGTGCTACACCTCCGAATCCTGGTAAGGAATGCCGCGGCGACGGCAAGGATCCAGTCACCAACAAGATCTGTGACGCCTTCCCCATGTACATGAAGATCGACTACATCCGTCTGTACCAGGACTTGGGTGCTGATCTCGAAGCCGACAACTACATGCAAATTGGCTGTGACCCTGCCAGTCACCCGACGAAGGAGTGGATTGAAGGCCACATCGACGAGTATGAAGATGACGATAACAAGTGGGAGGAAGTCGCAGGCAAGGCGTTCTGCAAGACGAGCGACGACTGTACCATCGGTGGCACACTATCCAGAACAGCACTGAAGACGGGGAAATGCGTCAAGCAGCGCTGTGAGTGTTTGTACCATTCGTGGGGCGGTCCTCGCTGCACAACTGCCATCTCGGGATCGAGCTCTTCTGACACTGGTATGATGAGCAAGACGTACGGTCCTCCTATGGAGGCTTCCATCGCTCTGGCTGTAGTGGCTTGTCTTCTTTCGGCCACCTCCGTGTACATGGCGATTAAGAAATCTGCTAGACAATCTAAGGTCGCGATGGCTGCTTTGGATGCAGAACGCAAGGCTGCAGCAAACGCTGAGTCAGGCCCGGTGAGCGAAACGAGCAGCAACCGCGGCTCACACCTCGCGGCGGTGTCCAAAGACAACTACCGCCAGAACTTCGTGTAGATAATTGCCGTAACTTACATCGAAATCAATGTTATTCATGAGTTCAATGCCCAGTGGAGCTGAAGATAATACACAGCTCTGGTCATCCAAGTAAAAAAGCATAAAAAACGGCATAGCATTCTATACCAGCGCAGGTGAGGACTTATCCACTCCACGTCGAGACAATCCCAGGTCTTCCATGAAGCTCAGACATATCCGTCATCGTCTCCGCTAAATATGCAAACAAAGTCGACAGTATCATGGCGCTGAAGCCAGTCTTCCACCCTCGCCATAACTTGTTGCCCAGCTCTTCGTTCATCACGGATATCGTCACAATTTTACACTTTTGATGCCTGGGCGGCATCCTTAGATACACTCTTGATAAAGCTGGTTGAGATAAATTCCGTAGCAAACAGATACTCGAGAACCCCTGCTTACTCGCGAGTAATACTGAAAGAGGACTCGATATTTACGGCCGCCGCATTGAAGACCTTCCTGACTTGCTCACGGGAGACTTCTTAAATTTAACCACGCTGTCGCTCCACCTATCGCAGAACTGGCAGGTTTAAACTCGTCGATAGAGTAGAGGTACTTGATTGAATCCAAGTTTCCAAATGATGCCGCCATCAGAAACGCGTCTTTACAAATGAGGCATCAAAGAGCTCTTCTTTCGAATAAAATAACGTCAGGATCTCAACTTGATCAGATCCAGCAGCAAATGCAAACGCGGTTCGAGTCAGTGGCAAGTCATATCTGCCATCGTCATGAAAGAGCTCGACAAGTTTCAAAGAAACCATGCAGGCTAAACGAGTTAGCACCATTTCCAGGTATGAAGGCCTGCAGCAGTTATTGGTGTACTAGTAGCAATATCGACCTTGCCTAAGCTGACTGCAGAGGCTAATGGGCAATCAGTAGGTAAATAATTCCTTGCTATCGTCACCCTCTTCCTAACCGTCCTCTCGGAGCAACTCCACGTTTTTCGTTTATAGACTTTACAATCTTAAAGTGACCATCGCGTACTGCCGTTGGCATCACGACACGAATTCTCCCACTATCACTTCCTGTCGACCGAGTGTAGCACCCAAAAAGCGAGCGTCTTGGAGAAAGGTGAATTGAAAATTGTGTCGACAGCCTGATGTTGTTGGCGAGCTCGGAGATCACTTTTGCGACCTTGGGGACGAGGTGAATCGTTCACGGCATTATGTAAGCGTGAGCGCTTGAGTGTTGTGTATGTGGAAGGTAGGTCTTCCAACTAGTTTTGATTTTCTGACCAATATTTCTTATATTCCATTTTCAATTTATGGCTACATCGATTTTGATAATACATTCTAGCTTATTTCTATTTTGTCGTTTGAAATAAATAATATTTTAAGCTCAATTATACCCAATAATTAAAATGGAGCTAAAAAGAAAAAATGAAGTTTTTACCATAATTTATTTGAATAAATTTCTGATGCTGGTACCTATTTATGTGCCCAATTTATAAAAGTATCATAATCGGAGACGCGCCCCCAGCTTCCATGAAGCAGCCACGCCGCGAAGATGCGCTGTCCGTCCTTACACCACTCAAGCGCTCACGACTGATGCAGATGCCCCGCGAGATCCACCTGCTCCCCAAGGTCACAAAGCTAATCGCCGAGTTCGCCATGACAACCTCGGAAGCCGCGCGAGAGGCAGCAGCAACCAATCAAACGCAGTGGCTCGAGGAGCTCTTGACGCTACCGGAATTTCGTGATAGAATGGACGAAACGGCTCAAAACCTCACGGAAATCGCTGCAATCCATGGCCATTCCGACGTTTTAGTGACAGTCTACAAATGGTGGGACCGTCTAAGCGCGAGACAAAAGCGACGAGTTGGCTGCGGTCGTGCACATTTATTGGCACTTGAGAATGGCAACTTCGATGCCTTTGTGGGGCTCCAGTGTCTTTACAATGAGTGGGATATGGGTGAGGGGCTAAAAAGTGCTTTGGAAAATGGGCAGCAAACGGTTGTGGACACAATTTGCAAGAATCTGCCACACTCAAAGACGTTGGCGTGGGGCTCTACACTCGGTCGAAAAGTAGTGATCGATCTTGTGTTAAGACAACCAAAGTTTGACATTAAGAAGCGGAGAAAGAGTGTGTATCGTGCGATGGCAATGGCAGCACACAATGGTCATTTTGTGATTGTCAAGTTTTTCAACGAAAATTATGGAAACGAGTTGTTTCTCGAAGATGAGATCAAAAGTGACGGAATTGAAGAGAAAGAAAAGGACGGAAACCGGAATGGAGAAGAAGAATCTAACGATGGTGACGACGATGATGACGATGATGATAGTGATGAGGAGGTTTCTGATAATGACTGTCCGCTAGCCTCTGCAGTCAAAGCTGGTCACCTTGATATTGCCAAATATTTGTATACCAATAACGGCTACAAGTCTTCTTCGCTGGAAAAAGTATTAGTTGGTGCAGCCAGCTGCGGTCCTTTGGAGCTTGTCAAGCTCTTCTATGACGATGGAAAATATGATTCTTTGTCACCGTTTGGAAGTGCATTCGAGTTTGCTGCAGGTGGTGGTCAAGTTGAGATCATGACGTTCTTTCGTTCGAAAGAAGAGTTTGATGCTGGTAGTTTCGATGACGCATTTGTGATGGCTGCAACTTTTGGCAAAGTGGACGCGATTAAGTATCTGTACTCTGTCGAAGAGTATAAACCTTCGAGATCTTCGGTAGGTAGCGCGCTGGAACATGCAGCTAGTGAGGGATACGCCGAAGTGGTCGAACTTTTGATTGTCAAAGAAAAACTTTCTCCCGAACTGGTCATGAAGGCTTTCAAAGCGGCCGCCATAAACATGGGCCCCTCCTTCAAAGTTGCTCGCGACCAAGCTGGAGTTCTCGAGTGTTTGTTTGCCACGGGATATATCACTCCCAGCTTCATCAAGAGTCTATTTGAGAACGCCGCTCGTCGAAGTAGCTTGGATGTCGTTGAGTTTTTGTATGCGAAAGGTGCGATTCCGCCGGGTATGGCTAACACAGCATTTGGATTAGCAATCCGAGAAAATGGAGGCGATGTCGTGGCGTTTCTAGCCAAGACTGGAGCCGTTCCGGCAACGATGTTTGAGGGCGACTTGGGCTGCGCTGTTGTTGACAGTGATGTGTATACTATTGCTAGCCTCTACAACAATGGATGTATTTCGCGAGAGTTATTGAAACGAGTGTCACAAGGCGAAAGGCATGGTCATATTCGGGTCGAGCGGTTTTTCAGGCAGCATCTAAGGCGCTCGTGTCCTCAAATCACAGTGACGAACCACAACGAAAGCAGCGCAGACGAAATTGACAATGACGCCTATGATTTCCATCAACTCAAGTGTCTTGACACAGAATTGCTACCCCAGACTATTCGATCACTTCCTCACGTGATGAAATTGGTCGATTTGTTCTGCATGTCGGTGGACACGGCCATGTTGGAGGCGGCAGCTACGGGCGAAATTGAATGGTTGAAAATACTAATGCCGCGATTTGTAGGCAATATAGAAGACATGGTCTACAAACTCACGGATCTTGCTGCTACGTATGGCCATACTGATGTGATCAGAGCTGTCCATACCTGGTGGAAATCTTCTGGGGAGAGTGGTAATATAAGTTGTGCTCGCGCAAAATTAATCGCGGCAGATCTAGGCCGTTTGGAGGCAATGAAGTGTCTGCTTGAGCTGTACAGGATTGACACTCTAGATCCGCTCAAACGAGCCTTGGACCATGGGCACCATGACATTGTCGAGGTGATTTGCAAGGAAATGGATCCTGAATTGTCCCTGCCGTGGGCCGCACAGCACCGTGAGCTTGAAGCAATCAAGCAAATATACCATCATCGCCGCGACGCGGACATGTGGGAGTTCTTGCAGGCAGTGATGGCTGCAATCTCAAGCGGTAACTTTGAAATCGTCAAATTCTTGAACGAGACGTGTGGTGAGGACCTGTATCAACGGGGTACCAACCATAAGGATTGTTGCCCACTGACAAGAGCGATCGAGTGTGGCCATGTGGAATTGGTGAAGTATCTATACGCAAACGGATACAAGGCCACTTCATTTGAAATAGCCTTCTCGGCTGCGGTGAGCTATGGACCATTAGAGCTCGTAGAACTCTTCTGCGGTGATGAGAGGTGCAGTGCTGCATCGATAAACCAGGGCTTTGTAGTTGCAGCTGGAGCGGGCCAACTGGCGAATATGAAATGTCTCCAGCTAAAGCAAGAGTTTGATGATTCAATGCTGGCAGAGGCATTCAAAAGAGCAGCAGGCTGTGGTCAAACTGAAGTCGTCGAGCACCTATACTCTGAAAGAGATCAAATCTCGACCTCAGCGTTCGAGGAAGCAGCGATTGTCGCAGGTGGTGGTGGGCATCTCAGTGTGCTGAAGCTGCTGGATGGCAAGAATCCCATTTCTGATGAGTTGGCGGTGAAAGTCTTTTTGAGTGCAGCTAAGGACAAGGGACTCCGATGTTCGGATATCGACGATCAAGTCGGGGTATTGGAGTTCTTGCACGCCAAAGGATGTATCGCTTCTGACGTGATTGTTAAGGTGTTTCCAGAAGCGGCAGGCAGCAGCTCTGTCGATGTCATGGAGTTCTTGTATACTACTGCATCAATTCCATCTTATGTGGTGGACGAAGCCTTTGAAAATGCTTCGTACGATAATTGCGTCGAGGTAGTGGAGTTTCTATACAAGACTGGGGGCGTTTTCGCAAAAACGATCGAAGAGACATTCATGGTTTCTGCACGTGATGAGGACATGTACTTTGTCGAGTGTCTGTACAACTGCGGATGCGTTTCACGGGAGTTACTGGAAAAGGCTTCGCAATCAGCGGAAACAACCAGTCTATTCCATTTGTTCTTGAGCCGTACTCGGGACAATGAGGCGCTGAAGAAAGCGTTTGCGTAGCTGATGTAGCAGGTGTGAAAATACAGGCAGAGCTGACGGAGAACGTTGCAAAAGGTTAGAATTCAAAGCGTTATATATGCAGCGCCGAGGCAGACGAGTTTCGTTGCTCTAGTTCCGACCGGATCGATGACCTCCATAAGTTTACTTGGAAGCAGTGCTTTGAAAAAATAAATATAATACAATTATTATAGCATTGTATTTATTTAATAATTTATTATTGGCTTTCATAAAAGTCCGTAAAATATAACATTGTCCCCGTAATTACTGTATTGATTTCTTACCAGTTGACTGGTGTGAAGGTGCCTCGACGTTGGTGTTAGACTCTTTATTTTGTGTTCGTCCAAATTTAGTTCTATGTTTTCTTTCAGAACCCAACAAAACTGCTGCTCAAGCTGGCTCGTATCTTGCCATCGCCGGCTATATTTGGTTGGCTAAAAGAACCCAGCTTGGATGATAGTCACCAGCCTTCTCTGCTTCAGTGGGCTTCGGACCCAAGCCAGTGGCGTGATAGGGTCAATCTCACACCACTGCCCCGTCCTGACCCTTGCAATACAGCAAAATAATTGAATAATTTATTATTGTGGATCGGTATATTGCAATGATTATTATGTGCTTCTGTGAAGCCCAGTACAATTTTTTATTTTATTGTCAGAGCACTGCTTGGAAGATCCTGTCGATGGTAAAAAAAAAATATCTATGCGACGACACCACTAATAAATACTATTACCTGTACTACGAGCTGCAATAGCTGCGCGACCTCCGCAGCGCTATACTTATCTGGCAGTTGAGCCTTAGTTCGAAGTGCTATGGTCGACGCAAGCGTCAATACTTGTTGTGACGGACACAATAACCATCATCCAAGAAGCTTGATTACACTACTAGGTACAGTAAATATAGGCCTTGTGCATCCCGGAAAATCGCGTTAGCTTTAAGATCTTAAGCGCCCTCGGCGAAGGAAAACAATATCGTTCGAAGTGTTATGGCCAACACGAACAAGTATGCTTACGTCTACACAAAAAGAAGAATTAATTGAGATTGCTACATGGATACCACAACGTCGTCCGAATGGGCTCGGAAATCCCGAGCCAATTCGAGCAAAGCTGCCGTTGGTTCGCCGATGGATACAGTGCAGAGACGTCCATATCCCGTGTTGTCGTGATTGACGACCGAGAGCCAGCAGGTGGGAGCTTTTGCTGTTTGTGAGTGTGGAGAGTGGGCAGACCAGTACAACTCCCCACACGCTGTTCGAACGAGCCACAGCAGCTAAACTGCCTCGTTATTATCGGTCCATTTATCTGCTAGACGTGCTATTTGGAACGAACCAAGGCGGTCACAGCGAAAGCAAAGCTTAGCGGAGCATTCTGAGCTGATTAATGACACCACAGACTGCAGCATAACGGCCAAATCGATCCCCAAGCTCTTTCGGTGCTTGACATCCTTCACACGTCTCGTTATCGAGAGCCCTGCTTCTACACTACAAACTTTTTTGCCGTTAGAGAGCCGCAACAACTACACGTTACGTGTACAGTGATCCCCTTCAATTCGGTCGACTACCTCATTAAATAACCTTCTATGTCTAATAGTTTGAATTTTGATGTCAAACCAAAAGAAAGAATGTGACAATGCTACCTTTCAAATCACATTAATGTAGTCCGCGATGATGTTGGTGGTAGCACTGTAAAGCGATCATGCAAAAGCTGACAACGAGCAGAAAGGAGACAAACCGGGATGGCGTGCCTCAAACGCGGGACTCACCAATGCTCGCGTGGTCGTAGCAGTGGCCAGACCCAGCAGTTCGAGGCCACTTGGCAAAAAGGAGCGCGAAGCTCACGCGATTATCGCATTTCACCAGGCAAGATCTCGCTCGACTATCCAAGGCTCACCGAGGTACTTACTTATGAATGCGTATGGAACGGATCACCTGTATGACTAATTGTTGGTGTTCGGCAGATCTACATACATCATGAGATCCATGACTTTCGTGTCGTGGGTGGCTGTCATGCTGACTATAGTCGCAGTATCCACAGTACAGGCAGCATCCAAGAACACGACAGGTTCGACGTACCCGACCAAGTCTGGGATTGAGATCTGGGTGGATCCCGCCACTCCTAAAGACCGTCAGACGTACATCAGCTCTCGTGGCCGGAAATGGGATCTGGTCATGAGTGACGAGTTCAATACCAAGAACCGGAGCTTTCGTCCTGGTGACGACCACATGTGGACTTCTCTTGAAAAACCCGACGGTGTGAACGGCGCTCTGGAGCTGTACTCGCACAATATGACGAGTACCGCTTGCGACGACGACGACACGTGCTACTTTTACATTAAGACCATGGACGAAGTGAACGTCATTCGCGTCTACAACATGTACACGCGTCCCGCTGGATACCAGAACGCCTACTTCTGGTACCGAGCGGCTATGGTTCAATCTTGGAACAAATTTTGTTTCCAAGGAGGAATGCTCGAAGTGCGGGCTCAACTGCCTGGTGCCGTCACAGAAGCCTCGGGTAACCCTGATCTGGCACTGGGTAAGTCCGGTAAAGTCAAGACAGCCAAGTTCTACCCTACGTGGCCTGGTATTTGGATGATGGGGAACCTAGGTCGAGCCATTTTCTCGGCTTCGACGAACCGCATGTGGCCCTTCTCCTACAACCGATGCGAACCGGAAGTGTTTAACCCGGAAAACCAGCGTATTAACGCCTGTAACGACAATCCTGGCTACGGAATGCATCCGAATCAAGGCCGTGGAGCTCCTGAGATCGATCTGCTTGAAGGTGGTGGCCTCGCTATCTCTTCTTCACTGCAGATTGCTCCTGGTATGCCCCTGGACTACCGTCTCTTCCCTGCCGACCCCAAGGGAGCTGACGTGACCAACCCGTACTGTGTGTTCACGTACGATTGCCTGACTCCTGGTGCCAATATGATCGACGTGCCTACAGCTTACTACAAGAAGGAACGTGGCCACAAATCGTGGTATCAGGGTCTTCGCTATGGAGCGAATAACCAGTGCCAACAAGTTTCTTCGGAGAAACAGGACTACGACACCGTCGCCGCTTCTGTGAAGGCTGGTATTAAGCAAAACACGTGTACCGTTGATACGTGCCCAGCTTCTGGCGATGTTAACGGAGAGTTGAGCTTTATCGACGATACCAAGACTGCTCACTGGGGTATCAACTCGAACGGTACCTGTTACCCTCTTATGAACTCGTACATGGGCGCCTATCTGTGTGATCCTGACAATACGGACAAAAACTGTGAGAAGCCTCGTAACTCGACTACACCCAAGACCAACACGATGAAGCCATTCAACTATCAGATGGATGCCATCTCGTCTAACTGGCCTATTCACTTGGGTGGATACCTGGGCTATCTAAACTACCAGATTGAATGGGTCACGGGCAAGAACGGCTACGTACGTTGGATGCTGGACGGCGCTCCGCTCTTCGAAGTCACGACCGAAGCGTTCTCAAACGTCCCGCAGAATAGCAAGAAGGATAACCCGCAGAAGGTGATGCTGGAAGAGCCTATGTACATGATCTTCAACGTGGCGCTGTCTAGATCGTGGGGTACGACGCCACCGAACCCAGGCATGGAATGCCGTGGCGATGGGAACGATCCTGTGGCCAACGCGATCTGTGACTCGTTCCCCATGTACATGAAGATCGACTACATTCGCGTGTACCAGGACCGAGGAGACGACCTCGAGGACGACAACTACATGTCGCTCGGTTGTGATCCGGCCACTCACCCCACTAAAAAGTGGATCGACGGACACATTGACGAGTACGTGGACGACGACAACCCGTGGAAGGAAGTTTCGGGCAAAGCCTTTTGCAAGATCGACGACGACTGCACAATTGGCGGGAACGTCGGTACGACGGCGCTAAAGACTGGCAAATGCGTTAAGAACCGCTGCCAATGCACGTACTCGACATCGTGGGGTGGCCCGCGTTGTACGACTGCACTGTCTGGATCGACTAGTACTAGTGCCAGTAGTCTGTCCAGTCGTGCGTACGGCCCGCCTATGGGTCTGTCCATGGGTATCGCTGCTGTTATCGTCTTCCTGTCGTGTGTGTCGGTGTACATGAGTATGCTTTCGATGAAGAAACAGGCTGCGCTACTGACCAAGACGACAGCACAGGCTAAGATGGCTGGCAGTATCGATGATGGTAGTGTCAACCCCCACGGCAACTCCACCGGCCAGAGACCCAAGGACAACTACAGCCAGAACTTTGTCTAAGTGATGGCTGCTAAAGAAATGTAAATAAAACTGCTGTGTATCTCCCATACCATCCAAGCTTCAAACAACTGGAACGTGCTGCGTCTCAATCTCAGTAGTACACACGGACATATGCGGTTTTCGTCTCTCCACCTGTTTGTAGGCGTTGTAAGGAAGCTTTCTGGACGGCATTTCGTGTTCGCGCTCAGGTGGCTACACAGCTGGATCATGATAAAGTGGGAAGATTCAGCGCACGTGCCAGTGAACCATCAGCCTGTTAATCTCTCTCTCTCTCTACTTGACAATTCAGTTGCAGGCTCCAGTTCATTTACGAATTTGCTCCATTCCAACGAGAGCGAATATTTTAGATCATATCCCAGGATGTGGTTTCCAGTTTTGGCAGCTTCAGCGACTGCTTTTACGGTCATTGCAGCTAAGAACAGCTCAACGTCTTCGTCGTATCCAACCAAGTCAGGGATCAAGAATTGGGTCGACCCAGACACTCCTGAAGACCGACAAACGTTCACCAACTCTCGTGGAAGGAAATGGGATCTTGTTATGAGTGACGAGTTCAACGTGGCCAACCGCAGCTTCCGACCAGGTGACGATCACTTGTGGACGTCGCTGGATAAGCCTGACGGTGTGAACGGAGCGTTGGAGATCTATTCCCACAATATGACTTCGACCAAGTGCGATGACGACACGTGCTACTTCTACATCGAAGTTTCGGATGAACCGCAGACGATCTCAGTTTACAACATGTACAAGTATCCTCCTGGCTTCGAAGACGCCCATTTCTACTACAGAGCTGGAATGGTGCAGTCCTGGAACAAATTCTGTTTCCAAGGAGGCATGTTGGAGGTGAAAGCGCAACTCCCCGGTGCCGTCTCGGACAAGTCTGGTAACCCCGATCTAGCACTGGGAAAGTCTGGCAAAGTAGCTTCCAAAGCGTATTATCCGACGTGGCCTGGTATCTGGATGATGGGGAACCTCGGTCGAGCTATCTTTTCGGCCTCTACGAACCGAATGTGGCCGTTCTCCTACAATAAATGCGAGCCGGACGTGTTCAACCCCGATTTCCAGCGTATCAGCGCTTGTGACGATGATCCTGGCTACGGTTTGAACCCGAATCAAGGACGCGGAGCTCCTGAGATCGATCTCCTTGAAGGTGGTGGCTTGGCCATCTCGTCTTCGCTCCAGATCGCTCCAGGAATGCCCATGGACTTTCGTTTGTTCCCTGCAGACCCTAAAGGTGCCGACGCTACCAATCCGTTCTGTGTGTACTCGTATGACTGCAAAACCAAAGGAGCGAACGTCATCGATGTCCCGACGGCGTATTTCCAGCAAATGCGTGGCCACAAGTCTTGGTACCAAGGTCTCCGCTACGGAGCGAACAACTATTGTCAACCGGATGCCAGTGCCAAGCAGGACTTCACCACAGTGAACAAATCTGTGGAATCAGGAATCACAGAGAACACGTGTACCGCTGATACCTGTCCAGCGTCCATGGATGTCAATGGAGATATGGGTCTTATTGACAGCAAGGGGAAAAATCACTGGGGGATCAACTCGAACGGCACGTGTTACCCCATCATGAACTCGTACATGGGTGCGTATCTGTGTGATCCCGACAATACCAACTCTATGTGTAGTAGTCCTCGCAACTCCAGCACGCCCAAGTCCAACACGATGAGTCCGTTTAACTATCAGATGGACGCCATCTCGTCCAATTGGCCCATTCATCTAGGCGGATACTTAGACTACCTGGTCTACCAAGTTGAGTGGGTCACAGGTGAGAACGGCTACGTACGTTGGATGTTGGACGGCGCTCCGATCTTTGAAGTCACGACCGACGCGTTCTCCAATGTCCCGCAGAACGCGAACAAGTCGAATCCGGTCAAGGTGATGCTGGAAGAGCCCATGTATCTCATCTTTAACGTCGCGTTGTCCAGTTCATGGGGTGCCACGCCTCCGAACGCCGGCAGCGAGTGCCGTGGTGACGGCGCAGACGAAGAAACGAACCGGATCTGTGACGAGTTCCCCATGTACATGAAGATCGACTATATCCGACTATACCAGGACCTGGGTGATGACCTTCCTTCGGACAGCTACATGCAGATCGGCTGTGACCCTAAGAGCCACCCGACCAAGGAATGGATCGAAGGCCACATCGATGAGTACTCGGACGATGACAACCCGGTCAAGAGTGTACACGGTAAGGCATTCTGCAAGACAAACGACGACTGCACTATCGGTGGCAGTGTCGGGTCCACGATGCTGAAGACGGGAACGTGTGTCAAGTCTCGCTGTGTGTGCTCGTCGACGTCGTGGAGCGGACCTCGTTGCACTGAGGCTCAATCCGACACGTCGGAGAAGTCCAGCAGTCTGTCGAAACGCGTGTATGGACCACCGATGGGGTTGTCGATGGGAGTCGGCAGTGTCGCTATCCTGTTGTCTATCGGGTCGGTGTGGCTTGCGGCTGCCGTGACTGCAAAGGAAACGCAAAAGATGCTGAAAACCAAGGACGCAGAGCTAGAAGCAAGACAGCGCGAAGCCAAGGCGTCCCAACTCTCCAGCAGTGATCTCGGCTCGAGCTTCAACCAGCCCAAGGACAACTACAAGCAGAATTTTGTGTAAAAAACTACTAGTATTTTTTTTCGTTGTGTTTTTGTGAATGAAATTTTTTTGTGCTAGAAATTTATTGGTGGATGCCATTTCTGTACAGCCAGGCTAATACGTGATACCGAACTGTACCCCTGCCTCTATTAATTAATAATAATACAAGTTGATGTGGTTTTCAGAGACTACGGTCCACACGATGTGCTGTATCGACGATACTATGGTGCGATACCTCACCTGCGTGCGAGCAGATGCTGATATCGACATACGACCTTTTTACCTACGTTGTACAAGGCCCTCCCTAAGGTAAAGACAGTCAGTTCTCAATTGTCACGTAAGGACGTAAATCGAAGAGGATGTGGGGGTTCGTGTGGACTTTTGCATTGATCACGACTCTGGTGGCCGGGAAGAACAGGTCGTCCGAATACCCGACCAAGTCCGGGATTAAGACGTGGGTGGACCCGGATACGCCCAATGATCGCCAAGTATACACGAGCTCTCGAGGCAGACAATGGGAACTCGTCATGAGCGACGAATTCAATGTGGCCAACCGCAGCTTTCGACCAGGCGACGATCACATGTGGACGTCACTAGATAAGCCGGACGGTGTCAATGGAGCACTCGAGGTCTACGGACACAACATGACCGGCACCAAGTGCGATGACGATGGCACTTGTTACTTTTACATCGAAGTGGACTCGGATAACTACACGATATCAGTCTACAATATGTACAAACATCCACCAGGATACCAGAACTCGACATTCTACTACCGAGCTGCAATGGTACAGTCCTGGAACAAGTTCTGCTTCCAAGGAGGAATGCTAGAGGTGCGTGCTCAACTACCCGGAGCCGTATCCACCGCTTCAGGTAACCCTGATCTGGCACTAGGCAAGAATGGACAAGTGACCGAGACGTCGTATTACCCGACGTGGCCCGGTATCTGGATGATGGGGAACCTCGGTCGAGCCATCTTCTCAGGATCCACCAACCGCATGTGGCCCTTCTCATACGACCGATGCGAACCCGAGATCTTTGACCCAAGTAACCAGCGTATCAGCGCTTGTGACGATGATCCTGGCTACGGTTTGAACCCGAATCAAGGACGTGGAGCTCCTGAGATCGATCTTCTTGAAGGTGGTGGCTTGGCCATCTCGTCTTCGCTGCAGATCGCTCCAGGAATGCCCACGGACTTTCGTTTGTTCCCCGCCGACACCAAAGGAGTCGACGCTACCAATCCGTACTGTGTGTACGCGTACAACTGCAAGACCGACGGTGCAAATTTGATCGATGTTCCTACAGCTTACTACAAGAAGGAACGCGGACATAAATCCTGGTACCAAGGTCTCCGATACGCAGCGAACAACAATTGTGCCAAGAAGAAAGCCAATGTCCAGAATTTCGCCACGGTCAACGCTTCTGTAGCTCGTGGGATTACTGAAAATTCATGCACCACCACGACGTGTCCTGCGTCTCTGGATGTGAATGGAGACTTGGATTTCATTGACGGAACCGGTAAAAACCACTGGGGGATCAACTCGAACGGCACGTGCTTTCCCATCATGAATTCGTACATGGGCGCGTATCTGTGCGATCCCGATAACAGCAACTCCATGTGCACCAGTCCACGTAACTCTACGACACCAAAGTCGAACGCGATGGATCCTTTTAACTACCAGATGGACGCTATCTCGGCCAATTGGCCTGTACATCTAGGAGCGTATACCGGTTATCTCACTTACCAACTGGAATGGGTCACGGGTGTGAACGGATATGTACGCTGGATGCTTCACGGCAATCCTCTATTCGAGGTTACGGCCGATGCGTTCTCTAACGTGCCTCAGAACTCTAACAGCAGTAACCCGCAGAAGGTCATGCTAGAGGAGCCGATGTCGCTAATCTTTAACGTGGCGCTGTCGAGTTCTTGGGGTACGAAGCCTCCGAACCCTGGCAGTGCATGCAAAGGAGATGGCTCGGACGAGACGGTCAACAAGATCTGCGATGAGTTCCCAATGTTCATGAAGGTCGACTACATCCGACTCTACCAGGACTTGGGCGAGGACTTGGAAGCTGACAACTACATGCAGGTCGGCTGCGATCCAGCGAGTCACCCGACTAAAGAGTGGATCCAAGGCCACATCGACGAATACCAGGACGACGATAACCTCGTGACCGAAGTGATCGGTAAAGCCTTCTGTACTACCAACAGCGACTGTACTGTGGGTGGGAACTACGCCAGAACCGACTTAATCACGGGAACGTGTGTCGACTCACGCTGTTCGTGCTCGTATCCGAAATCGTGGGGTGGTCCTCGCTGCACTGTGGCCCAAGCAGAGTCCACATCTTCCAAGGCTTCGACGCGAGTGTACGGTCCGCCTATTCCTTTGGCGTTGGCGGTAGCTGCGATCGCTGTCTTCTTGACGTCCATTTCAGTGTGGAGAGGCGTGAATGCTGCAGCCAAGAGGAATGCAGCGGTCACTAAGGCGAATATGATGGCCAAGAGCGATCCAGAGACGCGAGTTGCCAACAGTAGCTGCGTTTCTAACATGTAGTTCAAATAAACGATCTAAAAGGCAGTTTCGCTGGCATTATTTAAGCGTCGATCTGTCCGTTGTTATGTTGGGGATCAAGGCATTCGTGCAGGAATCCGTGCAAGCGCTTCCTCCGTCTCAATTGCGTCTGCTAGCCGGGACACTACGGATCGATCTTCGAGGCTGTGAAGACCGAGGAGACATCGAACGAGTGCTCACAGGACTGGTTTGTCTGGATCAGGACACGTCGCTAGGAGTTTTCCTCGCTTGGCTTCGATCTGCGGACTTACAACAGAGAAGTGGGATCCTCGCCAGCAAGAAGCAATCGTTTAACAATACATTCCTACCAGCGATTCGTACCAATAACCAGCAGGTTGAAGGTACTGAGCGTGTGAAGGACCATCATTTAGACGATGAGATCAAGCAGCAATTGAGTGAATTAGAAGTACTGGAAGCCGCGTTTAAGAAGGCTGAACGACAAGTGCACACAGGCTCACCCAGCTTTGAAAAGCTCAAGCAGTTCTTGATGGAGTTGACGATACTAAGAGCGAAAGAGCAGAGTGCTCGAGCTTTCCTGGTACGACGAGTGAGTGTTTTAAAACAGCAGCATGATGAAATGCGAGCTGAAATGCTGCACTCCAGAACTCAGTTAGATTTCTTTGTTGAAGGTTTTACGAACTTGAGAAAGAGACACGACGCGCTGTTGACAGACGCCACTCGAATGAAAGCCGAGAACGAGACAGCGCAGGAAATCTTTATCTCTATGAGTGCTCACGACTGCTACTTTGAGCAACTTATGCGCAATACACTTAGGCAGCAGATACGAGATAACGAGGATATAAAGCGGAGACTCAATCAAGCGCACGAGGATCTCGAAGCTGCAGCTCAGAATTGTCGGGAGCTGGAAGACCAGATCTCGCAGCTTAAACGGGAACGTGGAGACGCTCGTAAAGATGCCTATTGCTACAAACGCCAGCTTCGTGTCTGTAAAACACGACTGAGACGACTACAGGCTGGAGGAGGCGACGGCTCTTTTTTCCGAGATCAAGCAGTGGAATTACGTCAAACAGTTGCTACTCTTCTGGGACTTTTACGCGATGCAGTTGTGAGGGACACAAAGTCTCCTAAACAAACACTAAGCAAAGAGGCTTTAAGAATTCTACATCAAGTGCTGACACCAAAGATTAATGCTCCAGAGAATGAGGCGCATTTATTGCGACCTCGTGGAAATCAAGAGCATGAGAGTGAAGAAGTAAACTCTGCACAACCGCGAGTCGTTTATCGACGAACTTCTCTCGATGTCGACGAAGTGATTAAAGGTGTTTTGCTAGTGGAGGGCGCTACACCGACTGATGCTGCGGAGTGTGCACGAATAATGAGCGAGAAGCTGAAGTATCTGCCTATTGATCTGAAGCAAACGTTGATGCAACTTCAGAAGGATGAGGAGCGAGTAGGTCAAGAAGAAGAACAGAGAAAACTGCAATTGATCCAGGAGCAGCACGTGCAACAGAGTGAAGGCCAAGGAACGGACGGACGAAGTGATACAAGTGTTGTAGCTTCGATGGTATCGCCTCAAACACCAGTGCAGCCCAGTTTATCTGCTGATCGACCAGCACCAACACTCGAACGCTACGCTAATGCACTTAAGAAACACGTATCAGACTTAATGGAGACTCAGAACAAGCGAGGGTTTGTCATGTACAACTGGCCATTCTTCTCGCGTGATGTGAACTTGCTCACTGTCATTGGACTGCCCGTCGACAGTGTCATCAACCTTGAAGTCATCCAGAGCCCTCCAACAGCTCTCAGCTCCGTAGCAGCACCAAGTTCGACAACTGCAACTGTTACTACCCCATCTACCCCTGCTTCAATTAAGCCCAAGACTCCTGTCGCTACAGCAAAAACTACTTCATCAAGCAGCAGCAATTCACGAGCTAAAGCCCCCGTTGCAAGCTCCACAGCTCGAGGCAAAGCAGCACCGTCAAAACCTGCAGCAGCATCGAAATCTCCAGCCAAGCCTGCAAGTCGCGCAGCAGCTCCAAGCACAGCAGCAAAGCCTCGAGCTGCACGAACAACTGCGACTGCAACCTCCTCCTCCAAGCCCAAAACTCCAGCAGTGCCCTCAACTTTTGTCAAACCTGGTACAAGTACGTCTCAGCTCAAATCTGAAGCTGCCAAAGTCATCAAGAAGGCTCCAACTGCAGCTTCAGCTCTTCAAGGCTTGGGTGGCATAGTGCAATCGGTTGGACCGGCAACTTTTCCAGCTGAGCGCGTGAATGCAATTCTACAAGTTTTAGAGCAGCAGAAACGACGCAAAGTGGCTCCAATTGTGCGGTGGGATGAAGCCACTCGCCGGACGAACGAGATGTTGGCCATGTGGGCCGAGGAAGTCCACATGCTTGTGGTTCTCGAGCAAGAAAGCCGCAAACCTCAGAAAGCGCCACTGGCGCCAGCAGTCAACCCCTCCAAGCCCACAACTTCATCTCCTAAAAGATCCACAACCGCTGCCAAGGGTCCAACACGCGGATGAGGAAGTGGTGGGGGATCTGCGGATGTCGACATGAAGGATTGTATAGTATACCTGTATTTGTAGTGACATTTTAGCATGAAGCGCCAACGCCAAAACAAATGTAGAAGACCTGCCTTCCGCACCGCACTTCAGCGCTCGCGACTAATGCAGCTTCCACGTGATGAGATCCACCTCGTCCCCAAGGTAACAAAGTTAATCTCCGGGAAATGCTTCGTACGATAATTGTGCCGAGGTAGTATACAAGACAAAAGAGAATTCTTTGAAGACGATCGGAAAAACGTTCATGAATGCTTCACTATAAGTTCATTTTGACTTAAAAGTGAAGCATTCATGAACGGTTCTTCGATCCTTATTGAAATAAGTACATGTAATTTATCGAGTGTCAGTATAAATGTGGCTGTATTCGACTGGACTATTGGAGGTTCAGCGGGCAAGGTCGATTCTCCTTTTCCCTGAGCTGTTCACAACACAAGTAGATATTTCTGGTAAATGCAAGACATGACGCAAATTGAGTAGTACACGCTGAAGTATTTCATGTGGCGAACTACGATATCAATCGTGTTTCCATCGTCTACGTCAAATTTGGAGGGTCGTTTGAGCCACTTACACGTTTGAAAGGCTGGAAGTTGTTAAGCACCAGCCGGGTCATTCAAGTGCTTACCATTCAGAATCCAGCCATCACGTGCTGATAGATAAAAAAAATCTGTGAGTGTTGATCTACATGCGGCGTTGGCATTTTACATCACCAAGTTCAGCGGATCGTGAACTTCTTCTCGTAGCTGCTAACTACTCACTAGTAGTGAGTCACTACAGATCACTGATGTAATGGATCGCATCATCAGATATGATGTGCGCCACACTTTTTGTCACCAAAAAGGAGCGACGGTACTATCTGCTGTAACTTTGGTGTTTCCTACACAACCATCTGTATCTGACAGAATCAGCCTTATCAGACGGTCTTCTCTGCCTATTCCTCGATATTGATCCAGACACGTCGGTCTTCTCGCGTGTATCTCTTTCTGCTGACGCCGCGAGCACCTTCGTCGTGTAGCGCGCCGTCTCCTGTATCTATTGCGACGTCTCTCCCCACGCTGGACCCCAGCGCGCTCTACAACGTGCTCGGCCAGACTGCGTGGGAACTGGGCGGAGGTCTCTTGGGCCGCATGGCGCAGTTCGCTCACGGTATCTCGGCGCTGGATGTGACGCCGTCGGCAGCGCTTAGTGCGCCTGTATGGCTACTAGGCAAGCGCTACGACGATGTAGCGGCCGCCGACTTTGACGCGTACAAGCGCAGCTTTGAGTCTATCCTGTGGTTCACTTACCGTCGCGACTACCCTGCCATGACACCTTATGAACACACGAGCGACGCTGGTTGGGGCTGCATGTTGCGATCGGCTCAGATGCTGCTGGGTCAGGCACTACAGCGCCGTATTTTGGGGCGAGAGTGGCGTCTTCCTGCTCTATTTGAGACCGAGATAGACGCTCGACTGCCCGAGACGTACGTGCAGTTGCTGCGGTGGTTCGCAGATTCGCCCGACGTTGAGTGTCGGTACTCAATTCATCACATGGTGAAGCTGGGCGTGCAATACGACAAGCTGCCGGGCGAATGGTACGGCCCCACGACGGCTGCTCAAGTACTGCGAGACTTGGTGAACTTACACAGACGCGAGTTCGGAGGGGAGCTGGCCATGTATGTGCCTCAAGAAGGAGTGGTGTACAGTGATGATGTGGCGAAGCTCTGTGTCTCACATATCGAACAGGAGACAGCGGAGAAGGAAGTGAAGGACGAAGACGCACCGGAGTTCTTTGACCCATTGTTACACCCCCCTACGACCGAGGACAAGAGCGACTGGAGCACGGCATTGCTGATCCTGATCCCGCTGAGACTTGGACTGGATCAGGTGAATGAACGCTACGTACCGGCCATCCAGAAGACGTTCGCGTTCCCCCAAAGTGTCGGTATTATCGGCGGCAAGAAGGGCCATTCTGTCTACTTTGTGGGCACGCAACAGGACCAGTTACATCTTCTAGATCCACACGACGTACACCCTGCACCGGAACTTAATGCTGCCTTCCCTACTGCGGTTCGTATCGCGAAGGTGTTTGGGTTTTATTATGCAGAGCTGACCAATTTTTTGGTTTTATTTGTGACAGACACATCTGCGGACGGTGCATTCCTCACGCCCACTGGTGATGAATGTGACCACTATTGATCCGTCGCTGGCACTGGGATTTTTGTGTGAAAATCGCGCTGACTACGAGGACTTCGAACGTCGCGTACGGATTCTTCATGATGAAGTAAAAGAGGAAGGAGGAATGTGCCCGTTCTCGGTTGCCGCACGCCGTCCGGACTACGCGGCAAGTGATGGTGACCTGCTCATGGCTGACTGCTTGTCAGGTGACGATGAGGTTTCAAGTGCCGGTGGAGCGGGAGCAGGAGAGGATGACGAAGATGACTATGTTCTTCTTTGAGCAGATTGAATACAACACTCAGATTTATCGCATACCGGTTATTTTCGGAATGGATACCGCACAAATACTGGTTTTTCATGGATTCAACCAGATTTTTTGCTTACTATTTTTTTTAATCTGAAAAGCTGATAGGCATTAAGTACGCGCGAACTTAAGGAATTCCCAAACTTTGCTGGTCTTGATGCCCTCTGCTCGCCTAGTGTACGTGCTGTCTCCGGCCAAGACACTGGACCTGTCGGCCTCGCGCGTCTCGCAATGTTCGCAGCCGCGTCTGCTCTCGGACGCGCACGAGTTGATCGAGCAGCTACAGAAGCTTTCGCAGGCCAAAGTCAAGTCCTTATTAGGAGTGAGTGACGCACTGGCCAAACTCAATTTCGACAGATTCCGAGCGTTCGACGTATCAAAGACGGCAACAGAGGCGACAAACCCTAGGGAAACCCTAAAACAAGCAGCGCTGGCGTTCAATGGCCCAGCATATCAGGGTTTGGAGGCTCATAACCTGTCGGAATCAGACCTCGAGTTCGCCCAGACCCACCTCCGAATCTTGTGTGGTCTCTATGGAGTCCTACGACCACTGGACTTGATCCAACCGTATCGACTGGAAATGGGTCAAAAGTTCGAGAACAAAAGAGGAAAAGACCTATACGAGTTTTGGGGAAACACCATTGTGTCCGAGTTGGAGGCTCTCTTCAAGGAAGAAGAGGCCAAAGAGGACATCAAGTTGCCAAGGGTGCTGGTCAATGTGGCTTCGCAGGAGTATTTCAAGAGTTTGCCGTCTTCGGCACTGAAAGAAGCAGGCATTTCAGTGGTCGACTGTGTGTTTAAAGACGACGGCAAGATCAAGTCTGTGTATGCTAAACGTGCCCGAGGCCTAATGTGCAGATACCTGATCCAGCAACGTGTGGACTCGCTGGAGGGCATTACCGGTTTCGATTTGGAAGGGTACAAGTATTCAAGTTCGGCGTCCAGTGACGATATGTTCGTGTTCACTCGTACGGCGTCGGAGCAGAAGGCAGCACTGCAGAAGATAAGGGAGAAGGCAGCGAAGACCAAGACGAAGACAAGTCCAAAAGCGAAACGTGAAGATTTGAAGAAGTCTGAAGTTGTGGCGCAAAGTGAGAACGACGGGGAGGAGCGTCAACTACGTCGCTCGACGCGTAAGAAACGCAAGACGGTTTGAGTCTTGTTCAATTCTTCCGAAGTTGAATGCAAATAGACTTTTAAGCTGTGTACTTGGGTTTTGCTTAACTAGTTGCTTACACGATTATGTGATGACAATCCTTGAGATCGGATCGGAGGCCGTAATGATAGCGCTTAAGCGGAAATCAACACGACAGGAATGGAACCCACACCACCACAAAAGCTGAGACCGCGAACGACTGTTATAAGCAATAGGTGTCAAAATGTTTTTCAAAACCCTTTCCTGACAATAATACCAAAGCACGGTACCGAGGGAGTTTACAAGAAACATCAGCGCGTTGAACCCGTTAGATCTTCCGGTTGAGCCCAAGTTTTCTCACTTTCAATTTTGCCACAGCAGGGCCAGGGTCCGTCAGCCGCTGGCATTCGCCTCGAATAGTACGGAATGAAGCACACACGCCGTGAAGGTACGCTGTGTGCCCCCACTCCACTCAAGCGTTCGCGAATAATGCAGCTGCCCCGCGAGATCCACCTCGTCTCCAAGGCCACAACGCCGATCTCCGAATTCGCCATGTCGAGCACCGAAGCCGTTCGAGAGGCAGCAGCGACCAACCAAGTCCAGTGGCTCACAGAACTGCTGAAGTTGCCCGAATTTCGCGGCAACATGAACGAAACAGCTCGAAACCTCACGGAAATCGCCGCAGTACGTTGCCATTCTGATGTTATAGAGCGGTCTACAATTCGTGGAGTCTAAGTGAGAGACAAAAAGAACTAGTTGGCTGCGGTCGTGCATTCTTTTTGGCGCTTGAGAATGGCAACCATGATGAATTCGCAAAACTAAAGCGGCTTTATCGAGAATGGGATGTGAGTGAGGGGTTGAAAACTGCATGGGAAAATGGGCAACAAAATGTCATTTGCTCAATCTGTGAGGCTGTGGGCTACAGTCAGGTGCTTGTTTCGGGCATTAATGTTGACTAAAAACGATCGATCTTGTGTTTGCACAGCCGGAATTTGATGCTTACGAACTGAGAGAGAGCTTGTACTACACGATGGCATGTGCAGCACGTAAGGGTCACTTTGATATCGTCATATTTCTAAACGAAAAAGTCGGAAAGGAGTTGTTCCGAGAAGACGAGAGCATCGGCATTGAAGATGGAGGCCAAAGGGGAGATGGAGAACTCAACGGTGAAGATAATGACGACAATGGTGAAAAGTTAGAGGTGGTTCTTGGTAACGACTGACCGCTCGCTTCTGCAGTCAAAGCCCGTCGGCTCGATATTGCTGAGTATCTGTTCACAACTGATGGCTGCAAGCCTTCGTCACTGGGAAAGGTGTTTGTTCTAGCGGCCTTCCTTGGTGTTTTAGAGCTTGTCAACTCTTCTATGAAGACGGCAGACAAGACTTTTCCCCATCTACTGGTTGGGCATTCCAGGATGCATCTGGAGCTGGCCACGACGAGATCTTGGAATATATTCATTCGAAAGAGGAGTTCAATGTCGAGCTTTTCTATGATGCGCTTGAGTTGGCAGCGAAGTGGAATCGATGAAGTACCTGCAGGTTTGAGCCTTCAAGTTTTTCAATAGCTTGGGCACTAAATAATGCAGTTAGTGGGGGTTATATCGAAGCCGTCAAAATGTTGGATGCCAACGAAAAAGTTATCTCCCGAGCAGATCAGGAGGCTTTCAACGTGGCTGCACTAAATCAAAGACCCTCTCCCAAGGATCAAACTGCAGTCCTCAAATATTTGTTCGCCACGGAATTTGTCTCTCGCAGTTTTATCAAGAGTATAATTGTGAAAGCCACGCGCCGTAGCAGTCTGGACGCGGCTAAATTTTTGTATGCCAAAGGTGTGATTTCACCTGGTATGATTGAAACCGCGTTTCTCTCCGCAGTGGACGAGAATGAAAGTGATGTCTTGTCGTTTCTGGCAAGACTGGAGCCATTCCAACAGAGGTTTTGAGGACAATTTGATAGACGATGGTTTTGGTTTCGCTACTGTTGCTGCTCTCTATAGCAATGGGTGTATTCCACGAGAAGTACTGAAACGGTTGTTCAATCAGAGCGACAGACCTTATAATATCCGGGTTGAGCGGTCCTTCTAAGGCGCTCATGTCCTGAAATTGCAGTGAAATGCACCAATGACGACAGCGAAAACAGGGACATTGGAGGTGGCACCTACGATTTTTATGAACTGAAGTCCCCAAGTGTCGAATTACTACCTGGACAACTCGCTGATGTGGCGAAGTTGATCGATTTGTTTTGTATGTCGGTGGACATGGCAATGTTGGAGGCGGCAGCGACAGGCCAAGTCGAATGGCTTCAAGTACTTATACCACAGTTTGGAGGTGAGATAGACGACGTGGCCTACAAACTCACCAACTCTGCAGCTGAGTAGGGTCATTCTGAAGTGATCAAGCTTGTTGCTGAGTGGTGGGAATATCATGCGGAGACTGGTGATGAAGACTTTACTGTAGACTGTTCACGTGCACAATCGAAGGCGGCTGCAAATAGACATTTGATCCGCTCAAACGAGCGGTGGAACGTGGACACGATGATATCGTCGAGGTGCTCTGCAAGGAAATGAATCCTAGATTTTTGCTACCGCGGGCGGCAGAGTGCTGTGAGGTTGAAGTGATTAAGCAGATATTCCGTCACCATGGCAGGACGCAAATATGGGATGAGCTCGGTGACGCAATGTTGGTTGTTGGTTCTAATGGTAAGTATGAAATTACCAAATTCTTGAACGAGTCATGTGGGGAAGAGCTGTACCGGCGGACACTTGACTGCCCATTGACGAGAGCGATCGAATGCGGCCAGATAGAGCTCGTGAAGTATCTGTACACAAACGGACGCAAAGCCACTAGCTTTGAAGAAGCATTCTCAGCTGCAGTCAGCTATAGGCCGTCAGAGGTCGTAGACCTCTTGTCCAGTGACGGACGGTGCAATGCTGAATTGATAAACAAGGGTTTTGTACTTGCGGCTGGAGCGGGTCAACTGGCAATTATGAAGCTTCTTCAACTGAAACGAGAATGTGATGAATCTACACTGGCAGAGGCATTCAAAAATGCAGCAGGATGTGGACAACTTGAAGTCATCGAGCAACTACCCTCTGAAGGATACCAGATTTCGTCTTCTACGTTCGAGGAAGCAGCAACTGTCGCGGGTGGTGGTGGACATTTCAGTGTGCTGAAGTTGCTGGATGGCAAGAAAATGAGTTGGCGGTTAAAATCTTTTTCAGTGCAGCCAAGGAAGAGGGGCTCAGATGCTCGGACATCGAAGATCAAGTCGGGGGTAATGGAGTTCCTGTACTCCAAAGGCGGTATTTCTTCCGACGTGATTGTTCAGGTATTCCAGAAGCAGCATGCAGCAGCTCTGTCGACGTCGTCAAGTTCTTGTATACCTCCGTCATATGTGGTGGACGAAGCTTTCGAGAATGCCGTCACTAGCAACTGTGACCGAGGTAGTGGCGTTTCTTTACAAGACTGGGAGTGTTTCTTCCAAGATTTTCAAAGAGATGTTCGTAGGTGCTGCAGAAGATGACGATATGTCTGTACAGCTACGGATGCGTTTCATGGGAGTTGTTGGGCGTGAGTTTGCGCTTCACGGAACCAGAACGTAAATTTTTATGTATTCCTGATCCGTTCAGAGGACAGCGCAGTGCTGGAATTTGTTAATGCGGCGTCAAACTTTAAAAAGTGACAATGCGATCTCGTTTCTAGTCGTTACGTCCAAGAAATCCTGCAGATTCGTAAGCGTTAATTCATAATCTAGTGTAAAAAAATAAAACTATTTTTGATTGAGTGTGGGCATCGAGCAAGATTTTTTACATGCATTGCCTCTCTAACGGGAATGTGAGTTGCCAGTTTTCCTTTAGTTTTTATTGGGGGGCCATTATCCTTAGCGCAAGTTCTTCAAGAAAAGATATTTAATGATTGATTGGAAACAATCTTCTAATCCACCCAGGATTTCAAGAAATAACAGTAAGATCAAGTCTGAGCATGGTAAGTGTGCCCAAGGCCTCGCGTATGGATACCTGATGATACGTTCGAAACGAGTAGACGGCGGCAAAGCCCAAAATGAAGGCAGGTCGAAAAGGAGGAGCTCAAAGTGGTGTACAAAAGTAAGAACGATGCTGAGGAGCATCAACTGCAACGCTCCACACGCAAGAAGCGTAAGACATGTCGAGTTAGAAAAGCAAAACTTTATACATTTTTAGCTATCCTTTAAGTATGCTCGTTTTTTTGCTTATTAGTTACTTGTACGTACTGATTCGTACGTGTGATGAAAGTCCTTGAGGTCGGATTGGAGGCCGTAAATGATGCCACTAAAGAGGAAAACGCCCGTCAACACGGCAGGGATGAGCTCTGTGAACGCCCAGATCACCACAAACCCTGACACCGCGAACGGTACTATTAACGACGCTGTCATGAGCAATACATGTGATGATCCGCATAAATAAGTCGAGCGAGGAAGATCGGGCATTGTCACTCGAAGCTTGACTGCAGCTGTGATAAGTGCCATGGTTTCCAGTCCAGACAAGGCGTTGGAGATGAGTATCATGTCTTCGATCGTAGTGGTCACAACTATGAGAATGATAGCGAGGCTGCAGAAGATGACGCTGTGGTCGATCCCATGGACACTGGGCCACGCCATTCCTGAAAAGCGAAGAGAGAACGGCGCAAAGTCCTTCTCGGCCATGCCACATGCCAAGAAGACGCTGCAGAGTAAACTGCCGATGTAGAGTCCAGCGTCGCACAATAATGATAGCACAGTAATCCAGACCTTGCAGATGGAGCCGCCAAGATGTTTCCCTGCATAGTAGATAGCTGAACTCGAGCCTGTCCAACTCGTCCAGTCCGGTTCACCGAGTGCGATAACAGGGATAATTGGTACGAGATACGATAACGGGATGAGTACCAGCGATATCAACATTACGCGACGAAATGTTCGAGGGGGATCTCGTACACACTTCGCGAAGACCGACAGGTTCTGGTAGCCGTTGAAGTTCCACGCCAGCACCGTAACAAGACTCCCATACCCCAGGCGCTTGTCCTCAGCTTTCATTGTAGCGTCAGGTATTACACTTAAATTCTCCCAATGCTCCGCTCGCACAGCGCTCCAGACAGCGATCAACTGCGCATAAGCACCGCAAACATTAGCTACTACGTAAGACACCACCAACATCAAATAACCTACCGCAAACGGTACCAAGATAAACACGATAATCGCTCCAGCGGCGTAGCCCACGACGCGTAACTGAAAGAAACTCGCTAGCGCAAGTAACATACTAATCCCCGCTCGCATCGTGTACTCCAACACCGGCATATCCTCCCACCCCAACACTCGATAAATGACGCTAACTCCAATCGATACATACGCTGCACAATGCATGCAGTTCCCCACCCAGGCCCAAAAACCGGCTTGTAGTCCCCACGCCGGTCCAAATGCCAATGCGACCCAGTACGCGTGACCTCCTGCTTCCGGAATGGCACTCACCAATTCCGTGAGTAAGAAGCCCATCGGGATAAAATACACTAAAGGGAAAATTATGAGTGTTACCAGACCAACTAGTGGTCCAGCAGTCACTATCACGGCTTCTCCTCCCTCGGGCCCATTGCCTACTACGAAATAACTCAAGGCCAACAACGTGGCTGTGGACAATATTTGGTCTCTCGGTGGTCGGGAGTGCGGAACTTGCTGCTGTTGTCTCCTCAACGTGTAAATTTCGCCTTCGTGTGCCCATTGGAGCTGCTCCCCGACGTCTAAGGGATAGAAAACCTTGGAATTTGTGACGAACTGAACACTTTGCGGTGTCTGCAGACTCTGGAAGTCCGTGGAGCTGTCACTGCATGTAAATGTATTAGAAATGGTTGTGAAGCTAAGGTGGTGTGTGGAGAGAAGGCTGTTGCTACCTGAAAGCTTCGGCATCGCCTGTTATGGCCGAGGAAGTATGCGGACGCGGTGATCCATGGCGCATGCTGCGTGCTGTGGGTTTAACAAGTTCAAGTGCCAGTTTTTTATTGGTTGAAACAGATAAATATTCTGATTGGATGTAAAAAAAGGTTAAGTGAAATTTGAAGTTTACAAGTATCCTTTGCATAGCATAGTTAGTACACGTTCGTCTTCGAGTTCACCGACGGACCAAAAGTCTTCAACTCGTTGTACGCATGACCCACAGCCTCGTGACACAAATTCAGGTCCACCACCAGTGTAGAACCCTTCAGAGGGTTCATCTGATCACTGATCCACATCGGAACACCCGCGATCTTTTTGCGGTCCACGTCGCGGCAGTCACTCGGCAGGGCATTCAGACCGTACTGGATCATGCGAGCGAAGTTCTCGTGCTGCAACAACTGCTCCTTCAGCTTGTTGTTGTCCTTGCGCAGAGTCTGCAACGTCCCCATTTGCTTCTCGTACACCTCCGTTAGCGAGGGGCAGCATCAGGTTCTGGCTTCGAGCTTCCAGAATAGGACGCGCTGACTATCATGGGTACACTTTTCGCCTTACGAAAAACAAGTCATTTGTTGATCATCTAACCAATTACAACGCACATTCTACTTAATCTAAAAGCTCAATGGAGTGCTCTGAGCCGAGTTGGACCTGGTTTTAGCTCTAGTAGGTCTAATTCAAATCTATTTTTCTTAATTCAATGGCTACATTGGCTTCTCAAAATACTTGGATATGGCCCATCTTCGGAAATCGTGGCCACTATTTCGTTGAAGGTGGTGGAGCTAAGAACTGCGACGGATGTCGGACGGAAGGCATGACACTACGAGGATAGACGGCAACAATACTTCATCACAACCGCGAAGAAGGAAGTCCATTGGTACAGTCAAGGAGAACAAGTTCAAGAAGGGCAAGGAGTGCTGCAGCGTCACGTGCAAACTAAATTCCATCTGCAAGGACCCACTTCTCTGTGATGAAATTCGACGCAGTGCCCGCGAGATGCAGCAGATTCGGATGGAAGTTTGGCACCTCGTAAACCTTTACACGCTTCGATGTCTAGAGGACGACATTCCGCTACCGGACTACACTGACAAGACCTTCTAAGACAACTGCTGTTCATGCATCGCAACTACTGCCAAAACTAATCTCATCGCTAGGAAGAACCCCAAGCTCTGGGAGTCGTACCGAGTGTATAAAGAGAAACGGGCGCTTGCAGGCCTTGAAGACGTGCGTAACCTCGTCGGCTACTCTCAGTTGAAGGCCGATCTTCGTGAGCAAATGGTTGTGAACACTGGAGCGATGATTCGTCAGAATGTTGCAGTCGCAACGACGTCTACAGCAAAGGCCACGATTGCCCCACGTATCCGGGTGTCGGCGATGTCGGAACTAAAGGAATTTTCTGGAAAAGATGGCGACGAAGATCGAGCCCGAGCTTGGTTGAGCAAGGTTAAATCAGCCTTCGTGCGAGATCAAGCGCCAGATGAGGAGAAGTGC